TACGATCGAGTTGCGCGTCCCAGACGGCTGCACGGTGGGAGGACGGTGTTCCACCCTTGTGTCAGCTTATTTGTGGATAAGTCTACCATGCCGCAACTTGGGCTTCGCGCGCGTCGTCCGCGAACCACGGGCATGCTGAGAAGCAAATCATGGTCCTGCAGTGTCATGTCGGTGCGGAGTTGTTATGATATTCTTGCAGTATGCAGTCAAGGCACACGAGAATCTGCGTGGAAAGGAAGTGCTGTGTAAGCTTGAGCCAAGAACACTCTATAACGGCAACAGAGCTCACCCTAGTGCAAGCGACAGTGACAGCAGCGAGTTGTCCGCCGGATGGCCGTCCAATACTCCGTTGCAACACGCAGACTTGCACTGACATGACTCTCAGACCTGTCATGTTAAGATAAACGAGCTCGGGCACACCGATCATCTCGCGAAATTGTGATCGTCCGTCCAACCTCGTGCTGTAAGATAGGCCCGACTTACATCGTCGGATCTGCATGCTAGCGTTTCATGCTATAGCTGCTGATCCACTATGTTCTTCATCAAAGAGCACGCCATCTTACAGATCCCATAGAGACAAACTGTTTCTTTTTAGCGCAGGGATCTGTGTAGGTCCCGTCTGCTCCGACCGTTACGAAGCGCTGCGGGGGTTTGCGGCTTGATGTATTAACTACAGAAACCCAACGTGCTCTATCTCTGGCAACTAAAGAGACAGACTGTATGTTGATATATTAGACGCATGAGACCCACGATATTCTTAGGGCCCTCCTGGATCCAGCGTGACCGACCCTATTCGTCGGGTCGGATATGCTCGCTGCTGAGTTTTGTCGTTCTTCTCTAGAGAGCATGTCTGACCCTGGCTGATTTGGGCTACATGTCGAGCCGTCCAAGCTCGGGATTCACGCAGGCAAATGGCGAAAGAACTTGACCTCCCTGCCCTATAAGCCCGCCGAATGGAGGCCATGTAGTTTTTGAAGGGATTCCTTCAGAGTTCCTTCCTGTACATATGTACAGATGATACTACTCTTAAGGACCCCGTACCCTAGTTACGGTCTCGGGTTATCGCCATGCCGTTGGTGTTTGCTATGCTTACATCCATGCGCTTCACTGCTACACGACAGCACCACCCGACCGGCCTGCCACTCCATCTCCGGGCCGGTTCACCTGCCACAAGGCTCTTGTGAGTTCTGGTCCACACTTGCAGAACGTGCTCTGTCCGCCAATCCAAGCAGACGCTCCTTTTATAGATGCCTTCGCATCTAGGACTTACGGGAGTACAGCGCCCAGGCACACACGCCGACGCTGGGTCGGTGCGGCCTCGTGGCGTTTTGAAAACCCCGCCGTAGCTGCTCGCAGGCCTCGCAGTGTCGCGGGTCTTCCTTAGGAAACCCTGGATACAGCTGGCCGCTCGCATCAGGCTTACCCTTGTGATTGGGAGCGGGCTCGCCGGGAGGGATGAAAGGTCTGCGTTCGCGGACTTTTCTTCCCTCCGGCTTGCCCTCTGTACTTGCTGCCTGAGCCGCCTTTGGCGCGCCAGGAGCTCGTCTCCCAGTACCGGGGTTGGGGGTAGGTGGGGGTGGGCTGGTTTTGGGGGGCGGTGTCTTGGCCACCTCCTTCCCCCCTCCTGGCGACTCACCCGAGACCTTCGCCTTGCTGCTTCCGTCCGGTGCCTTGTCTTCCTTCTCGTCCTCACTTGAGCTCCCAGGCAGCACAGGAGAACCAGACGAGAAAGAAGACGACCGACTTTCTTCCATCTCGTCTAACTCCTGCTCCTTCTTCTTTATGGAGACCAGGAGACTCCGCAGTTTTTTATGATCTTCTCGAATGGCGCCTTTCTTCTGCAGATACTTAGCCTTCATGACCCCCAGGCCAAGGCGAACCGATGAGCCAGTCGAAGGCATTGCGAGCAAGGAAATTTCGGATGGCAGGCAAGAGCTCAGGTTCTCGAGCCGACCCAAATTGCGTTATTCCGTCAATCCGCTACCAATGACATCGCGCACGACTGTAGCAGCACTACTAACAACTGATGCATGCAAGCGTCCTCGCCTTCGCGATTGCGATGAAAGGGATCGCAGAGTCGGCAGCGTATCCTGACGGGAATGCCGGACATGTGTTTCGAAGCGCTTGTTCGGAGAATCTTTGGTTCATAACTCAGTGTGCAGCATCGCATGAATGTTGTAGCATGTTGCGTGTAACAAGTCACGACAAGGCTGTTAGAGGTAACAAAGCCCCCGTAAGTACTGGTACAATATTGTGCTGGAGGGTGTGATGAAGATGATGAAGATGATGAAGATGATGAAGAGGATGAAGATGATGAAGTTGATGAAGATGATGAAGATGATGAAGATGATGAAGATGAAGATGATGATGAAGATGATGAAGATGATGAAGATGATGAAGATGAAGAAGATGATGAAGATGATGAAGATGAAGAAGATGATGGAGATGAAGAAGATGATGAAGATGAAGAAGATGAAGAAGATGATGAAGATGATGAAGATGATGAAGATGATGAAGATGATAAAGATGATTTAAATAATTTAAATCCTGAAGGGGAGGGGTCCCCGGGGGTCCAGGGCCCCGGGAATTAAATAATTTAAATAATTTAAATCCGGAGCCCTTCCCCAGGATTTAAATTATTTAAATTATTTAAATCCTGGGGCCCGGGGCCCCCGGGAACCCCCCCGGCCAGGATTTAAATTATTTAAATTATTTAAATTATTTAAATTATTTAAATGGGGCCGGGAATTAAATAATTTAAAATTTAAATAATTTAAATCCTGAAGGGGAGGGGTCCCCGGGGGTCCAGGGCCCCGGGAATTAAATAATTTAAATAATTTAAATCCGGAGCCCTTCCCCAGGATTTAAATTATTTAAATTATTTAAATCCTGGGGCCCGGGGCCCCCGGGAACCCCCCCGGCCAGGATTTAAATTATTTAAATTATTTAAATTATTTAAATTATTTAAATGGGGCCGGGAATTAAATAATTTAAATAATTTAAATAATTTAAATAATTTAAATCCTGAAGGGGAGGGGTCCCCGGGGGTCCAGGGCCCCGGGAATTAAATAATTTAAATAATTTAAATCCGGAGCCCTTCCCCAGGATTTAAATTATTTAAATTATTTAAATCCTGGGGCCCGGGGCCCCCGGGAACCCCCCCGGCCAGGATTTAAATTATTTAAATTATTTAAATTATTTAAATGGGGCCGGGAATTAAATAATTTAAATAATTTAAATAATTTAAATCCTGAAGGGGAGGGGTCCCCGGGGGTCCAGGGCCCCGGGAATTAAATAATTTAAATAATTTAAATCCGGAGCCCTTCCCCAGGATTTAAATTATTAAATTATTTAAATCCTGGGGCCCGGGGCCCCCGGGAACCCCCCGGCCAGGATTTAAATTATTTAAATTCTTTAAATTATTTAAATTATTTAAATGGGGCCGGGAATTAAATAATTTAAATAATTTAAATAATTTAAATAATTTAAATCCTGAAGGGGAGGGGTCCCCGGGGGTCCAGGGCCCCGGGAATTAAATAATTTAAATAATTTAAATCCGGAACCCTTCCCCAGGATTTAAATTATTTAAATTATTTAAATCCTGGGGCCCGGGGCTCCCGAAAACCCCCCCGGCCAGGATTTAAATTATTTAAATTATTTAAATTATTTAATTCGGGCCCTGACCATCCACAAAACATACAAAGGATATAATCGCCATCTGCTTGACTATACTAAATACTATAGGAGCGAAAACCCACGGTTTCAGCTGGCTATAATACCCCATTTAAGCCGCACACGGGGGGGGGGGCGGGCGGGGGGGCTTCTTCAGGTACAATTATCTGAGGAATAATATTGGCAACTACGAACAAGATGGGTAATTATTCAAAAGCCTACATGATCTGTACCAGGACTCTACCAGCCATTTGGGTTCAAGGTGTTTTCTTCCCTAAGCTGCAGGGTCAGCGGTTTCAGGGCAGCGGTTTCTAGGTCTGCGTAGCAGTTGACGGTCTCTGCCGAGTAAAGTGTCGGTCGTGTCGCGGAGAGTCTCGGCTTAAGTATACGGGGAGATGGAACTTCAGCTCTGGGTGCTGGGCAACTCCCTGAGCGGATTGGAGTTGTTCAATGTCTGCAACCCGGTTTACCCTTAGCGCATCGTTTGAGTCGATGAGTCGATACCTTATGACTCAAGACAGTAAGGCAGCTGTAAAAAGAAACGCAAAGCATGAATCTCGACAGGGGGCACACTTTGCCTCTTATACTCATTCTTAATCGCTGCAAATGGAGGATGCCAGCCCGCGTGCGAACAAGAACGTCGGAGTTCTGAACAGCGCGTTTCAAGCGTCCAGACCAATCCACCCAGTTGTCTCCACATGCCTGCTTACCTTCTGCTGGCTGTTTGTTGAATGTTGTGTTGAACAGCCAGTTAAAGATGGAATTCCAAAAACATGAAAGGAAGAAAGCACGCAGCTGCTATGCTCCCCACCTGTGTCCCTCAAGACTTGTCCTGCCCACCTCACCCCCGAGGACACTACACACTCGGAACCTTCCACCCGACTAGTAAATAAAGCATTCGGCATTCGAGCATCTCAAACCAAAAAAGCCGTAAAGCCTCAAACCAAAAACCCGTTTGTCCCACGCCCAAGAACCAAAAACCCATTCATCCCAAGCCCAAGACGACAAAACACACCCTTACACCTACGAGCTCATGAACGCCGCAAGCCTGTGCCTCGAAAGTTGGCAGCCTGGACATGCCTGGACCATGGAACCCAAAACACCACACTCGACACCCTAAACCCTGACATCCCCAAAGTGAACATGCAGGCCTTTAAGTCCGTTACAGAGACCCTTCTGCATCGTATCTATATCCTAGCACCCCAAACCCGAAGAGCCCATGAACGCCTCAGTTAAAACGCATCTAGAAGCTAGATCGATGTAGCCTTAACATCAGCCTTAAATCCCAATCGCCGAAAGCCCCAGCAAAGATCCAAACTGTGCCCGTCCTTTTTGGCTGCGCGCCGGAGCGGAGCTCGCAGGCATTGCCGGAGCTTCGTCCAAGTCCTTCCGAGGTGAACAGGAGACGTTTTAGTGATTAGGGTTCAGTGTGGTTTAGCCTTTACCGGTTTTGGTGTGGGCATGCCGCTGGTTCTCTCCGTTCATTGGAGTCCCTTGAGGGGGCTTCTCTCAATCACTGTCCCTCAAGGGCCACTCATGGCAAGTGTCTTCAAGACAAGGTTCATGTCTTGGCCGGTGGGGATGCCCATTGAAGCAGAGCTGCAGAAGGAGCATAGGCAGATGCAACAACGCGGCCTCAACATTGGAATCATTAGAATGGGTCTATACTTGCCAATGGCCGATGCCCCTATGTCATTACAAGCCACCGAAACTTACAATGCGAGCCACTTGGGAGTTTCCGAAAACTAGGGGTACCTTATCTTGGGGTCCTTATAATCAGGATCCTACTCTTTAAGGATTAGGGCCCGCTATTTTCGGAAACTCCCACTTGGGTTCTCTGAGGATGCCAGGCTGAAGCCTGGGAGCTCCCCGCCTTCTTCGCAGACTCCACCAAGGAGCCCAAAAGTAAATGCCGACGGCCATAAACTCTTGCCCAAGCCCTATGAACCCTTAGGCCCTAATCTCGAAATCCCAAGACAAAACCAGAATGGACCCCCATCAAAGTGCTTGCAAGTTGGTGGCATTTGGGATCTCTCAGGAACTCGGGTGATCTCAAAACGAAAAGGCTCTGTGGGTACTGCTGGGTGACTGAGGGAAACGGATGTCCCCTCCCCAACATTAGGCTTGAGCCCCGAGCCCCAGACCCTCAACCCGAATTCGTTAACCTCAAACACAACAGAACACAAACCCCAAACGTCTAACTCCTAAAACCCAAGGCTCTACCACCCTGTCCTCCTTGGGCAGGCGACCAATTTTGTTTGCTCCATGGCCTCATTCCAGAGGCATTGAGTTTGATGTTTTGAGCTCAGGAGTTGGGCATTAAGGTTCCAGGGTGTAAGAGATCAGATCTACAGGGTCTGCTCTTCTTGTTTATGTTTTTGCTTCCTTCAGGGTTTCGGCGTAAGGGTAGCTTTAGCTCTCTTGGGGCTTCTACTGAAGGTGACATCCGGAGCATCTATTGAAGGTAACATCCGGAGCAGGCTTTAAGCTGCGAAAACCGTGCAAAATGCACACCTGAACCACAGATCAGTAAACGGAACCCTTAAAAGAAACCCGGAACGCCGAACCCTTAGGGTGCTTGGCTTCGGAGGACTTTGTGCTTTCAGTCGTAGTCTGCTCGCTTCTCTGGTTGTGAAGCCCAAAGCGGTTTAGGGTTGAGGGCTTGCGGGCGTAGGGGTTTAGGGGTTAGAGTTTGGCGGAGTCGGGCAAAGAGCAGCTTGCGGGGGTGCCAAAACGCCATGTCAGCTTCTGAGTTGAGCTACCTTTACATCATGTCGTTAGTTGCTGTCCTGGTATAATCATATCCCAGCATACATGGGTAAACTAGGAATCCAGATCTGGGGGGCAAGGATGTAACAGTCAACAAGCCTTGGACTGATTCGGCTTTCGAGAAACTCATGTAGACTTCGAAAGAATTCTTAAGGACTCCTGCGTCCTGCCGAACCCTGAACTCAACCTCCGAACCCCTCTTTCCTGCACCTGCCTCCGGCTGATTGCTGTCCACTTGGAGACTGGAGGCCAACATTCCTCCAGGTCTTCATAGTGGAGAGGCGGAGGGATCTGTGAGTGGACCTTCAGAGCTACATGCTGGAGGACTCCCAGGCTACCGGCATCCTCTCTCGGCTAGATAGGGTATTTTCAAAACCAGAAGCAATAGACACCCAAACCTCCAAACTCCAAGACTCTAAACCCCAAAACCCTGAACAGTAGCCGGATACTGTAGCAACCTGGGTCGCAAGCTGGGGGGGGCTTTAGGTGGAGCATCCTGGAACTGAGGAGGTTTCGTTCGCATGAACGGGCAGATGGCGGCACAGTGCAGGCTGATACCACAGGGACATACCAACTGGGATATGAGTCCGACTGCAATTAATTCTGCTGTCTGACGATGAAGAAAACGTTCCAAGTGCAGCATCACTTACCTTACGCCCAAATAATCGACGCCCTGCGATGCTCCTTGGGCCTGCAGCTGCTGGCAGACCTGCAGAAGTTAACATCATGGACAGTTTTAAGCTCGTGGCATCAGGGGTTGCGGGGGGCACCAGTTTGGGCGAGGCAGGGCCGCAGTGAGGGCGCCGGAGCCAGAGAGTCGAAGCAATCTAGTAAATTGTATGCCGTTCGCACCATCACGATCGTATGTGATCGGGATGCCTAAAAGTGATGAACTATGTAACTATACGACCTGAGCTTTGTGCGCAGGCTTAGGACTTCGAATGTTAGCTCCTCCGGCTCCTCCCTCCTTCTCTCTCCTCCCGCCTCCTTCGCCTCGTCTTTGGCATCATCATCGTCACCAGCATCATAGTCCCATTGCCACCAAATCCGCAAGGAGGTACTGCCGTCGACCCGCGCCAATGCACAGTACCGATACCTCTAACTACCCGTAGGCTCTCGGATGTTTTCGTCACCTTCGACAGGCACTCAAAGCCCTAACCTCGCAAAGCGGCTTCGGGTGTTTATCGAGAACAGCCCTACACTAAGCTCAACAAAAACGGCAAGCCTATTCAGTCCTTCCCCTCCCGGGTTTGTATGTTGAAGCCAAGACGCTCTGCAAGGGTGCTGGGCTCTATTCACAAAGCCTATGAATCACGTGCGAAGGCAGAAACTCTGTGACACCAAAAGCCAAAACAACGAGTGATTCCTTTATACCTTCCACCACTGTGACTGCATCTAAGCCCTCCTTGAACCGTAAACTTTCAGCACACCTACACCCTAAATCCTACAAGCCCCAAACCCTCTTTTTCTGAAACTCGGCCCTTCCCGCACCTCGCTGCTCTGTGCTCTCGGAAAACTGCGGCTCCCTGGGGTGCCTTTGCCGGGCCGCAGAGAGGTCCTTCAGATATTTTAAGCTCTTTTTGGCTTCACGCAAGAGGAGGGCATTCGGTTGGCTTGAAATGTAAAAGCAGTACTATCAGGCTTGCCTAAGGGTCCTGCAAAGATTTTAGAGTTTCGGGCTTAGGCGATGCAGACTTTGTGGCGGCGTTGCATGCTTCGGGCTTGAAAAAGCAAAGCGCATGAGGTTGCTCTAAGAGATCATATGCCATATGCCAACTCTTCTGAAGTGGTTCTGCATCCAGTGCCACTACACAGCATCGAAGTATCTCTAGCTAACACTACGAGAGTACCCAGTTTGTGGCAGCGGCGAAGGGGAACGTTGACAGAATCTGCTTTCAAGGTCTTGGAGAGCACAGCGTGTGCTTTACTATTGAGTCCGGAGTGGCTTGAAAGACGCGTAGTTAAGAGTAGTACCTGCTGTTCTTCGTTGCTCGAATGCCACAGTAGCGGTAGCACTTCAAAACGCAATCCCCAGGTGCGAGACACAGCAAGTCAACTGGTACCAAATTTCAGTCCAGACCCCAAAATTTAGTGACGTAAAGCTCTACATCATGAAGCCTTCGCACGCCCCTCGACTGGCAGAGCCCAGCACCACACGACGCACTGAACCCGAGACGCAAACAGCGAAGCCCCACAAAAGAACGACCAACAACGCATATCCGAAGCTCAAGCACTAGCCAAAAGCCACCGCCAACTCTCGAAATTCCTACAGACTCGGTTTGCGGAGGATGCTGATGCCCCGAAGCACGTAAGACTGCTTAAACGCGGTCTGGCCCGTGCGGTCCTGGCATCACAATCGGAAGCCCTTTATGCTTCAAGGCGCATACACCACCAACTCTCAAAAAGGGCCCTTGCGACCCTTATCATGGATCTTATCATCCCTGTTTTGCCTTAATTGAGGTAACTTGCTCGTGGCTGATCCAATCCTCGCCCTCGCTCGCCGCGGGGGCCGGGTTCAGCAAACCCTGCAGAGCGATGTCTTGTCGGCTTAAAGCTTTGCATTATACAACAACGACTTAACAGTCATCATCATAACGAGGCTTCAAAGCTCAAGGGAAACTTAGGGCTCGGGGGTTATCGGGTTTCGGGCTTAGGAGGGTCTCAATACAGAGCCCTAAACCTAAACCCTAAAACCTGCAACCGGTTATGGAGCTTCCATTGTCTATATATCTTCGATGAAGGCGAAGGTTCCAAAGCTCTCGGGCTTAGCTTCGGAAGCTGTTGGGCTCCCGACTGGAAGCTTCTAGTAAGCAGATAGAACATTGTAGTGCCCTGGCAGTCCCTTGACCCCTTCTGGACCCGTCGATGCAGTACCCTCATAACGCCTTTTTGTGATTCGAGACTGACCTTTGTTTGTTGGTTCTGGGAAGTCAGGCAATGTAACCCCTTTTTGACCTGAGTCTCCGATGTGGCATCGGAGACTCAGCCTGTGTAGAACAGGGCTTGAAGCCGAGTATAGCATAACTGTACGGGGACTATGGGGGAATTCTATTCTAAGCGGTCAAGCCGATAGATTATTCACGGACATCTGTAGGTCAGATAAACGAATCTGTTCGTCGCAGCCCGCAGCCACCCAAATTTTCCGAGCAGCTTGACTCAAGCCCGAATCCAGACATCAACACCAGACCCATGAACCCCAAGCGCGAAACGCTAAACCTCGAACCCGATTTCAGGTTCAGGCTGGGTTTAGGGTTTTCGGATTGAGCCTCAAGTCTGCAGCCTGAAACCACTCTAAACCCGATCCACGGGCCTTGAGGAAGGCACTATTGAGAGCAGTCGCCGCATCCTTTCGGAGCTGGAGCTCAACATGGGAGTTTCCGAAAATAGGAGCACCTTATTTAGGGGTCCTTATAATAAGGATCCTACTATTTAGGGTACTATATTAGTGTCCCCTATTTTCGGAAACTCCCAGATCAGCATGGTTCAGGGGCTTAGGGTAAGGGGCACTGTCACTGTAAAGGTCGTTCAGCAAGGGAGGTATCAGACTACCCAGTCGAACAAAAAAGCTTCCGAAATCTGCTGCCTACACGCATTCTGAGTTGACAATCTAACAATCCAACGAAAGATGACACCAGAGTCCGTACATTTTGTATGTATGTATGTATGTATGTATGTATGTAATTGTGTAGTATTGTTAAGAGGAGGTATGAGCGCGATAGAATTCCTGACACCAGATCAGATCATCGCAAAATATCTCTGCAAGGTCCATTTTCTGAATGGTTAGTGCCGCAGCTGGTTGCGGGCCCTTGCGCGCAGTCTGCCTTTCGGGACGCGTTGGCCTTACCTCACTTTGGATTTCTGCCTACTCGAGCCATGCCGGCCTGATCTTCGGAAGTGCCTGTCAGTGTTTGCCACGGCATCGGCACCACATGGGCAAAAAAGGCTTTTAACCGAGTGCTGCTTGACGCCTCACTCGCTGCGCTTTTCTGAAGCCCCCACGCCTTGATTTCCGGGGCTGGGCCTCCTCACGGCCTTTGCCCCATTGCCGGTCTCGGGATTTTGCGTGCGCCCTTTTGCCGTCTCTTGCGCTTCCGGTTCCGATTCGTGCTTATGAGGGCCTATCTCCGCTTCTTTGTCGGCTGTGCTTGTTTGCTGACCAGATTCACTGGCAAGTTAGGCGCATCCGACAAGAATTCGTCGCCTCGAAAGCGAAGTCTATGCATGCTTGCTCTATCTATATATATATATATATGGATGTCTGTACATATATACATATGTGATATGCAGATGCGAGCGCCAAGACAGATTTCGCGTTGCACCGATACATAGCTGGGCAGAACCTCGAGTTGCGAAATGCTAGACCCGAAAGCTGATCCCCAAGCCTAGTTGCGTGCCAAGTCCGAACCACAAAGCCCGACACTTCGAGTATGCAAGTAGCAATCAGCCGGTAGGCTTAGGGTAAACCCTAAACCCTAATTTCTCCCGCCAGCATACCCATAGCTCCCAGCCCGCCTGCGCCATCTGTTGAGCGTGCTGCTCTTGAGGTGTAGATCCTCCTTAGGGGCCAGGGTTGTAGGATTTGTGGTTTAGGTCCCTCGGTTTGTAGGTTGAAGGTGGACACCTGGTCTGCTCAGCACGTGTGAAGCAAAACTACCGTTGCCGCAACCTCAAACGCATGCCCACCCACGGGCCTAGGGCAAATATTCCTGCACAAGGGTGCAGGACTTAAAGCCTGACACTGAGGAGTTCAGGCCTATGAGGTCCAAGGACGGATGCAGGTAGGGACGACTAGGGATTTGAGGGTTCATGAAATCCTTTCCAATGTTTTCCTATTTCAAGGTTTTTGTATCCCAGGCTGAATCTGCAGCCCCCGGCTCTACACCTATCAATCCAGCCGCAACCTCGAAAAATATCCTAACACCTGACAAATTGGGTTCGGGCCCGGGGTTTGGAGATCAGGGCTTTTTGGGATCTATTGAAAACCTTGAGAGCCCCACGTGGATTCCTGTTGGCAGCAACTGCAGATACCTGCTCAATTGGAGAGCTTGAGGACGTAGATCAGGGAAAGTTGAAGTTCTTTAGGGCTTCGCGTTCAGGGTTTGAAGGGTCTGGGCTGGAGAGTTCGGCCTCCGCACTTTAAGAAGTTAATGTTTCAAGTTGGGAGAACACGGTTTGCAAGCATGATGGCCCGGAGCCCAATGCAATCTGGAGGCCTAAACCGATAGACTGGTCTGGTTTTTCAAGGGTTATGATACAAACGCACTCGCGAAGCCTGAAATATGCTTGAAAATACTTGATAGCTCATCGCTTCTTTAGTGAGTCTCCGTTCTTGAAGCCGGAAGCTCTGATTTCTCCAAGGGATATCCTCGAACCTTCCTGCGAACTCTTTGCCAGACCCTCCTACGCCCCAAACCTACTTCCTGGAACACCAAAGCCGTAAACCCTACGATCGGAAAGCCGAATCCCTAAACCCCAAGCCCCGAATCCTCACAACATGCATAACACTACGAGCAACCACGTCGATGGGTGCCGCCCGAACCGTTGAAGCCCCTTGAAGCTCTGAAACCCCGAAAAAAGCCTCCACACCAAAACCCAAACACCCAAATATAGGCCCAACTGGGAACATTGGTGATCCTCAATTACAGTACCCTAACGGCCCCCTTGTAAAAGCCACTTGCCTGGTGATACTGCCAGGAGAGGACCTAAAGTTGATGTTATGGCTTTTAGGGTTGTAGGGTTTGGAAGCTTTACGGATTATGCTTTCGGGGTTTAAATTTCATCAGGGGTTAGGGTTGAAGTCTATGGGCAAGGTTTTTGTTTTAATGTTCAAATATTGCTTTTACTGTAAGTCGTATCATTGTACATGTACTTTCGGATAACACTAGACTAATGTTATGGTTGCTGCGTGATCATTGCTATCGTCAACATTGTTAGTGCGGTTACTATTATTTGTACTAAGTGTGGCATGTTCTGATTCCTGTTCTCCTTCGTCTGATTATTACTACTATTCTTACAGATAAATGTATTACTATATTAGGGTATATGACATCATACAACAGTTCGAACTTTCCTACACAACATGATGTTATATCAGGTAAGGTTATCTCAATGTTAGACACACTACAGTAGTGTATACGATTCTTGTATTACTCGGCATATTATTGTTCTATATTCTTTTATACTATAGTAAATAGTGTATAGTATCATGTTGTACGATGTGCCTATATCATATATATATATATATATATATATATATATATATATGTTATTGGATACCTTAACATACTGATATTACGGTATACTGTTTTACAGTTGTTACATATTAATACTGTATTCTATTACTTATTCTCAGTCTCTATTGATAATTTTTGCATTATAATTAGTAATTAGTGCACGTTGATAGTGACATTCGTATATACTCCTTTATAATCTAGCAATATTCCGGCATATCAAAAATATTCGTCGTAACATGTTGTTATGTATTGTTATACATATATCGTATCATTGCAAACCTTGACCTGCAAGCAATCCAGGAAGCGAAGAAAGGCTCCTCACCGTCAATTCGGATCCTAGATAGGTGCTTGTTGGAACCATTTGCTCTATGCGAGCCTACCCTTAAGCCGACACCGCCAGAAACAAGAGGAAAGACGCGGCAGAGAAGATGACAGACCGAGCGCGGAACTGCATGAGGCACCACGTCTGGAGACGTAGCCTTGTATGCAGAGCAAAACGGACCGAAGGCCGAAGTCACACCTTCCCTCAGGACTACATGTCTGAGAGTAGCATGTAGTATGGAAAATAACAGTCCTAAATTTCTTGATTTTCAGGATCTGGGCTCCCTATTTAAGGCGTGTGGGGCCGGAAGGTTCGCTTGGTGCTGGTTGCGCTCACATCGGAGTTTCGGAAGCTAACTAAGCGATCCAAATTTAAAGCCCTTAGCAGCAGGATCCTTGATGCAAGGATGCCGAGATTTTGGCAAAGAAACCCTCGCACTAGCTTTAAGAAGCTCGCACATTGATTTAGCGTTGTGTGTGTGCGCGCTCTGTCTCCCTCTCCCCATCCCTCTCTCTCTTTCTCTGTCTCTGTCCCTTTCTCAGTCTCCCTCTCTCTTTCTCTCTCTCTCTTTCTCTTTCTCTCTCTCTCTCTCTCTGTCTCTCTCTCTCTCTCTCTCTCTCTCCCTCTCTCTCTCCCTCTCTCAGCGAGACATAAGTGACATAAAGCATTCTGAGCAACCCCCCCCCCCCCCCCCCCCGCCCCCACCCCCACCCCCAACGAACAGAAATCCATACGGCAACAAAGGCCACAATGACAAAACCAATAACAACAAGACAACAGCACATCCGAGGCCAGCGCCCAGTTGGGCGCACGCCCTGGGCCGAAGTCGCCGCCTCGCCTTGGAGGGAGGGGTAAACTTTTTGGGGGAAGGGGTTCATGCAGCGCTTGAGGGTTGTGGGCGTTTCGAGGGTTCGGGGTTCGTTTGGGTCTTTGGCTTGGGATTCAAGCTTTGGGGTTGCGGGAGAAAGGTTTAATCTAGGACGTTTCTAGGGGCTGCAAGGGCTCTTTGGGTTAAAAGCCATTGGGAGTGGTTTGGGTTCTCGCCGCTTTAGGGGTTTAGAAGGCTTTGCATATCCGGTTTCTACACAGGTTTGACAAAGCCTTTTGGGTCACTCAAAGCTTCAGGGTTTAGGGCTGTTGGGTGTTGGCCTCCAGGGACTGAAATGATGGGCCTGCAAAATAATTTCGCAATGCAAGACAAGTTCAAAGAACAGAAGCTACAAGAGGATATTCTTATGACATCGCATTAGGATTTAGAGTTTAGAGCTTGGGTTTGGCTTTCAGGCTTCTGAAGCTTTAGGAGTCGAAGCCTCATAGCAAGACGCTGTGAACAGGGACCGGTACATACGGCGATTGAGAAGTACATTGGGGACCATACAGGAACGAAATACTGGTACCCACTACTTGGGCTTCTATGTCACTGAGACTAGGGTTCTAATGGGTCTCTGTGCGACGATGATCTTAGGCACCCCCCATAGTATTTCTAAGTAATCAGGCCCCGACGGGCAGTGTTACTCTGAAGATGTGGTTTGGAGTAGGTAATACTGTAATACTGCAGTCTCACTTCCTGAGCATGTCTTAGAGGCTCACAGACCAAACCATCAGGAACTCAACTTCTTAGACTGATGCCCAAGGCGCATAACGCCAGATCCCAGGGTTGTGAGGTTCCGAGTCTGGAACATGAAACAGACATGAAATTGTGTGTCTGTGTGTGTCTGTGTGTGTGTGTGTTTGCCCTCACTGTCTATCATGAACCCAGAGGTCAAGGGCTGAGCTCCCACTTGCAAACAGGAGGATGGAAGCTGGAATGCCAGTTGAAAGGCGTTCAGTTTCAGACCTCTGCATGAAACCCTAAAGCCCGAAGCTCTGCACTCTACACCCTCAATCCCAATTTAAACACTACCCAAGGAATGGCTTTACAGACTTTCTCCTTCCTGGGCCTCGAGCCGGTCGGTCGTGGGAGTGATACGAATACCAAGCTGTCGAGGACAGAAGGTATAGAAACACCCTACTGTCAGGGCCTTTATATTGGGACCCCTATGGTGTTCATCAACTGCCCTCATACTAGGATCTTTATGAACAGGTGATCCCTCATCCGACACAGGGTGGTTTAGCCGGGATACGACTCAGGAATGTGCATCGGGATGTGCCAGCGTGTGCTTGTCTCAGCGAAAACGGAAACCTGTAAACCCTGGATGCCTGAAGCCCCAAACCTCTCTTGAAGCCCTGAAGCAAGGGAGCATGAATCTAAGCCGCTATGGGGTCTAGCACTCGTTTAGGGCTTCGGGGGTTTGGGTTTGGATGATAGAGCTTGAAGTCTAGGAATTACTGTGTTCAAGCCTTACGGTTTACAAGTTTATGACTGTGTCTGGAGTTTAAGCAATTTGGGGTCTATAGGGGCAACGGCTAACGGCTTAAACTGAAGGTCTAGGTGGTCCACGCGGAAACAACTGCGCACATGTCATCCTGGACACTGTCAGACAAAATGTATAGCATGTCAGCATTAACAGCCTTACAATATCGAGGTCTGTTATCCGTCATACCCCTGGCTAGCCGCTATGAAGATATGAACTTGCTGACAAGTTGCTGAGGTGAGGCCCAACTGGGTTAGCTTCTTCAAAAACGGTAGGATTCAAGAAACCCGAAAGGTGTAAAGGTTCTATGCAGTTCAAAACGACCTTCAGTCCATGAACACGGGCAGGCCTCGCCGATTGCCTTGAGCAAGCCGGACGGGTCTGGGATGACCTCAGCCAGGACTCTGCTTTGATCTTGTTGCCTTAGGGCTTAAGGAGTTGTAGGCTTTTGGCATCGTTTTCTGATTGGAAATTTAGGGCAGTAGGTTTTGGGCGTAAGGACACTCATTCATGTCGATGCAGCCCGCGCACACTATTGGCTGCCTTTCCTCTCGCAGAACGCAAAATGCAGCTGCCACAACTCAGTGGAGATCATCCTTGTGGATACCTTGAACACACAGGCTGTTCCAGAAGATGCCCTCCAGTACCTCAAGCTTGAACCACTTCACCAGGTGAGGGGGTCGGTTGAGGCGTAGCGCCGTGTCAGCATTGATCTTAGACTTCCTTGTGTCAGCAGCTAGATGCCAGCTCATGCCATCCTGCGAGCAGAAGATTTTGCAGTGAACATGCTCGGGCATGTTGCGGGCGAAGGAGAGGCCCGTGAGGTAAACGGACTCATGTGGAAGCATCCATGTAATTGAATCAGGACCCTCCAGCTGGAAAGGTTTACGATTGCTGACATACTGCTCCAATGGCCCAGGGTTGTTAACACAAAACCGACAGCCCTTCCGTCCGAACACTACAGTCACATAATATCCTAAAAACGGTGAAGCTGCATTTTCTGAATCTTCACGCTCAACCCAAAGCGAGTTGAAGATATCATCGCTGTATCGAGCCATAAGTTGGTCTTCCGGCGTGTCACCGTCTTCACCTTCTTCAGCTGCCAGCCGTGCAGCCTCATCCTTCATGCGGTCGAAGTGTCTATCGATGACGGGCTGCAATGACCAAGGCAATGTCGCTGTCTCACCAGCCTTCCGTTTCTTGCGGGTGGTCCACCCTTGCAAGACGACCCGGAGATCAGCGTTGCACATGCAAATCAAACCGGGCTGGAGGATTTCCTCCAAGACTTCCGGGCTGATGTTCGGGCACTGTTTCAACGCATTTCCGGCTTCGATCCAAATCTTCTCCAATGCCGTTCTGCGCAGGTCTGCCAACCGGTACCGGGCGGCAGAGGCGAAGAGTTGGCAAGCGTCCTCCGCTTTCAGGCCTTTCTGGAATGCTTCTGCGCAAAGCTCCTGGAGTCTGTCGACCTGGTATTTGTCCGCCAGCGCGCAAACTTCCAGCAGGGTTTCAAGCTGGCCTTCTACCACCCCGGAGTAAAGAAAACGGAGGAAGATTTCCACCGCTCCACTGGAAAAGTCTGTGATGACCACCTGGGCCTTCTGCTGCTCGACAAACTCCTTGGAGCTGATCATCTTCTCGAAAACCACGGACCAACTGGCCAATAACGGTGACATGACCTTGAACTCCACTCGCTTGACTTCTGACCCACAGCTATCCTCACCCTGTGGCTCTTCCACCACCACAGTGAAGTCGCCGCCACGGCCGAAGCAGTTCTTAAAGATGCCTGCAGCGAAGGCCGGGTCCCCTGCTACGGACTTTGCCATGCTGCCTCTCAGTTGATGCCAAGACTGACAAGACTAGATGAGGGCTTCTAAAACTTATAGAATTAAAGACGAACATCAACCAGGTAAGGCTCAGGTATTTTCAAATCTTCAAACCCAACTCAGCTTCAATTGATGTCGTGGTGATTGGGAGCCTGTCTCATGGCTAAAGTCGAGAACGACTACATAGTTGAGCTGAGTTAGCAGAAGACAAGTATCAGCCAGGGGACTCTTGTAAGCCGCACGGGAACCCGTAAGCCCCAAAGACTGAGACCCTGCAACACTCCATAGCCCCCACCCTAAACTCGCTCCCACCGTAAAGAGTCTCTCTGGACACCCCCAATCCTAGAGCCTAAAGACCCAAAATCGCCCGCTATCACAAAACCTCACAACCTCCATCCCTAGTCCAAGAATCTCAGCACAGCTTCCCAAACCTCTGTGCATTCAACCGACAGCCCCAATCCCTAAAGCCCTTAACGGGTTAATAGAAGACGCCCGCTACCCAACTTACTCACTGGGCTCTCGGGTTTACGCGCTTCGCTGCAAGAACCAGGGTTGCAGATTGCTCCACTGCATGGAAAGCTCGACGGCGGCTGCTTTAAATGTAATTTCCCGGGGCGCACATGCTCAGGAATCTCTGTGGGGTCGGTCTTCGGAACACGCTGCTTGTGTTTGTAGGGGTTACGCTTTTAGGGTTTATGGTTGAGGGTTTTTAGGGTTTCGGGTTCCACATTTCAGGGTTTCCGGCATGGGTCGTAGTCTGACAGTTGTTCTTTTGCGCAGATCCTCGGTTTGGCCACCACGATTCCTCAATTCGGGACCTTCCTCTAGCAGGTAGGAGGTAGGCAGCCTCATGGCCTAATTCTGAAACTCTACCCTCTAAATCCTGGAATGCCGTGGGGAAACCGACAGCCGGTGGCTCCATATGGTGCACATGGCTTGAATTTATTGCGGGCCTTTGTTTAGCCGGCTTTCTCCTGGTAGGATTTTGGGTTTACGGATAGGAATTTGAATCCAAAGCAGGCTTGAGCCTGCCTGAACATCAGGTGCCTAAGGCAGCAGCTTGGCTTGAACATCCAATCCAGGGTATTCGTTTGGGCAAACCTGACGAAATAAGTATTGCTAGTAGTGCAACCTCCTGTGCTATATATAATCTGTATATACTGTATATACTGACCTTGTATGCGATATTGACCCTGGTCCCGAAAACCCACGAAGCACTGATGAGCACTAAATCTTTAACCCGAAGCCATAGGCTCTAAACCGTTCACCCTGAGCTACTCACGGCCCTACCACAAGGCCCACGCATTATGCTCGAGTCGTACCCAGCAGGCACCAAACCTGAAAGGCTGGTCCTTACGGGGGAGTCTAATGCCCAATACGGCTGCGAAAGAAAGAAACATGTGGACCTAGACCTGTACCTGCCAAGGCTTTACGGTTTTAGAGTGTCTTTGAGCTTGAGGGTTTTGGCAGGGTTCCAGTGATAAGTGCTTAGGGTCGTGCTATCGATCTGAAAATGGGAAGAATCCGCCTTTGCCGGTTATGGGCATAAGGCCTGGGCTTCGAGAAGAAAAGGTTTAGGTCATTTATGGGGCTTTCGAGCTTCGAGGCTTCTGGGGTTTCACAGTTCGTAGGTCCAGAAAACTACGGGGGTGCCCGAAGGATCAGATCAGCACAAAATCTCGCAAGAAAAGTCTGTGTGGAATCCGCGTTCTAATGCAGGACACAGGATCCTTTTGCTGTTGTTGCCTTATAAGGTCCTTTTGTGGAACCCCCTTTGCTCCACTCGTGCGGTGCAGGAGCAGAGACTTGTTGATGAGCAGCTGGAACGGGTAGCTCCTTGTGGGGTGAGTGCCTTGGCAGCGCTAGGAGCAAGGAATGGGGCCGTGGTGATTAGATCGACTACTGTAGGGGCGACACTTCTTTCTGATTGCTTAGTCCTGTTGTGGGTTTTGGTGTAAGATGGGCTTGCTTTCCACCTTGGCCAAACTCCAAACAGGGCAACGGGACACGTAGTGTCCTATGCGCAACTATGTATACCTGCCTGCAAAGACATGCAAAGGTAAACTAGGCATATATGTGCACGGACCCTCAAGGCGGATGCTCGACAGCTCTGGAAGTGAAAGAACACCCTAAGAGCGCAACCTATCTGCTATTGGCTTTCTACCAGAAGGAACGTGAAAAACGGCCGCAACTTCCTGCATGTGCTGGGCCCCAGGCCGAAAGCACACAAAATTGCTTCCGCCCCTTCTTGGCCTCAGCGAGCTGTGACTTCGCGCGGGGGGGGGGGGGGGGGGGGGGGGGGGTCTTTTTCAAGGTGGGTCTGGCATAGATCCAGGAAAGCTGCCACATACGCACAATCCATGAAAGCACGGACAAATGACTAAGCATTTCCGTCGAAACCATCACGGCTACTCTTGTCATTGGTTTTTATGGGTTCATATTTAGGGACGGGGAGAAGTGGGGCTGAAGTTCGATAGGCTGTGGAATGATTTCCAATGGTCGGGGGACAGCAGAAGCGAATGCAAATTGACTTTCCCATGATGCTGTTGAGAATTGACTGGTTCGAGCTTCTCGTCAACCCCACCCCATGTAATTCAAGGTTCTTTCTTCTGCAGAACTCACTCGTCATGACCATCTTCACCACATATCCTAGCACCGCTGAACTCCGAATCCTATGAAGCATCCACGAGCTCCACGCCCTGCCCCCTCCTCCCCCAGTCCCAGGCACAAACCCACGCACACCCCAAACCCTAATACTCGAACATTGACCCCTCACACGAGGTAACCACAAATCCCTCATGTTCCAAGCCCCCCCGCCAATTTCGTTGTGGCTCAGATGCAACCTTGGCAAGGGCCCGGGCTTGTGAGCTGATCCGGATTTTCTGTAATTCTGCTGCTGGCTATGTGGGGCTCTGTTCAGGTTGTTCAGGCAGTTAGGTCTTCCATGGAGTCTTAGGGATGGTAACGGTTTTTGTTAGCAGCCTTATCAAACAGAATTTTGGAAATATGCCACTGCTATAGTGTCATCCATAAGGCACGACATGCAATTACGAATTGTCATTTATCGTGCCCGACTCCTGCTCCCTCGGGCCCCACGTCGCCTTAAAACGGCAGCTGTTCACAGAGATTAAACCAGAAGTATATACCATTTGTATACTTGGGGACCGTAATCAGCATCCAGATACACCCTCAGGTAAGCTTTGGGGGGATCTCCTGACTTTGTTCTAGTGAACAAGGAGGGCTTGGTAGCAAGGGGTTACATATGGAGGTGGATCGGGATTTGGGGTTTAATGCTGCGGCATTAAACCTAAGTCTCACAAATATTGGTTTGTAGCCTGAACACCCTGCTATATCATACTGTACAGCGTCTTTGTGTCAGTGTGGACGCTTTGTGTCTAAGGCGAGATGTGAGCATATGTAAGCAGACTGAGGGTACTAGGCTTCGGGGTAGTCAGCCCAGATCCGGAGATCCCCTGAAACTAGCATGAAATCCTAAAAAGGCTCTGTCAAAAGGAGGGCTGTGGGCAGAACATTAGCTTGGAGGAGGGCTCTCGCCTTTGGCTTTTGCATGTGGAGTGCGGCACAAGGGATGCAAGAAGCAAGAAAGAGGACCATGATAAGACACCTGTGGGCAGCTCCGTACATGACGCTTTTTGTTGGGGTTTTGGAGGGTGGAGGGCCCCTGATGCCCCTGATAACATTAAATGTACGACCTGAAACGGGTCCTTATTTGGAGACGGCACTACCGGAGTTGCTAACAACATTTGTAGGGCTCCTCATTCCTTCTTCCTCCAGAAGAGCTCTGAGCCCGAAGCTCGTGAAGCGGCGCTCTTTGGACGGTAATAAACCGGGCCACCTGACAAAGGAACTTGTTCGAGGGTGCTTTCATAGAAGTTGACGAGGTTTGAAAGGGGTTTATCTGTAGGCTTCAGGGTTTACAGTGCTCATAGGCTTATAGGGCTTATAGGGCTTAAGGGTGTGCGACTGTTCCTTGGTGGACTTCGTGGTGACGGTGCCCAAGGCGCAGGGAGGAGGGTTTCGAACCATAAACACCAATCCCTAAGTCCTAATGCGTTGGCTTCGAGTTGCTGTTAGGAGGCGGGGGCCAAATGATGGCGAAAACACTGAAAGTGCGATGATCAAAGAAGAGCAAGCCTTGAGCACAACGACCTTCCTAGTTTGGTAGCTTTGTATTTACGGTTGGCCATGCGGACTAGGCCCTTAGGGTAGCTAGGTACGCAAAGCACGCGCGCGCGCGCCCATCTCCGTCTACGCAGACAAAATGCTTGCAGTGGGGCCCCTACATCCCCAAACCCCGGAATTCTGAACCCCGGGAACTACTATTCCTCAGGATTCATTGTTATCATGAATTTATAGTATCATATATCGTCGAAATCGAAGTCTAAATGGTAAGGCGCCTGCGTTAAACATGTTTGCTCAGAAAACACAGTCCTCTTCAGAGGATCCCTGTTGACAACGAATATAGTTGGAAATCTACACCGTTGAAAAATAAAACAGATCCTGACGTTGCTCCAAACCCTAAATAAACCCGTAAACCTCGGAAGACCTGAACCCTACAGCCTACCCAAAAGCCCGAAATCATTTAAAACTCGCCAACCCCAAACTAAAACAAAAACCGAACCCTGAACCTGGATCGCCCAAATCAAACCGTAGATCCTATTCCCTACTGTACAAAACAATTCCCTAAACCGTAAACCCAAAACCTCTAAACTCAAAGAGCAGAGAACAACAACACAAAATCAGAGCCAAGTAAACCCAACCCAGCAGGCATAAGCCGAGCCTGTAGAGCTCCAGGGTCGCCTCACGGCTGCTGGACATGGAGCTTAGGGCTAGCAGGGCTTCTGTCGTTTGTGAATTTTAAAATCGGGCTTGGGGGTTTGGGGAGGTGGGGGCTCATGAAGGGCTTAGGGCTCTTGATTGTTTTTGAGGCGGGGGGCCTCGCAGGGAGTCTAGGAAAATGTAATACCCTGCCTGAACCCCTCAATTGAGACACCTGCGTGGAGTACTCAACTTATGGAACGCCGAACAAAGCCAGACAAAAATCCCAGTAAAAGGCCCCCCCCCCAATTTAGGGTTTATAGAACTCATCTGTGGAGCCCAAACGCCCCACACTTCAAGGCTGTTCGGTCAAACTGAGCCCTGGGGACAGAATAACGTTCCATGAGTTATCATTGAACACTCACACCCCGAAGTCCTTAAACATGCCCCTATAAACTCTAAGTCCTGTGGCCCGCAATCCAAAATGAGTCCCCATGCCCGGCTCTCTCTGTGGAGTTTCAGAAGGCCATGGGCGACCCTCAATCGTTGGATCTTGTTGGGAGAAACCGGCGGGAAGTCATGAACTCTGATGGCTAGTAGTGAGGATTTCAGGGATAGGAATCGGAATTAAGACAGAGGAGCGCAAGTACAGGGCCTAGGGTCGCGGGGTTTCAAAACTTGTGGTTCAGTGTCCAGGGGGTGGGGGCGATGATGTCGGATCTGGGAGCAAGAGCACCAGGGACAATAGAATCTCAACCGACCAGTAACACCTTCGCCGTGCTTTCTGTGGAAGTCTCCCTGAATTGACCCCTCAGGCCCTCCTTCCTCAGGCCGATGCTGTCAGAGCTGCTTAGGCTTTAACTTCTAAACTCCAAACGTCGCCCAGCTCATGATACCGTAGGGGTCAGAATAGCTAGCAATCGTAATCTCCAATTAGAGACACTGCCACTGTATTATCGGACGATATTCATGTACCCGGTACCCACCCCGCTTCCAAAACACAAACAAAAACTCTGATCATCAAGGCCCCCATCGTGCCCCTCTTTGAAGCTGCTGAGCCCAAGACCAAGATGATTCTTGTACAGGCGCAATATCCTTGCCTCGAGCTGACGGGCTCTAGGTATCGGGACTAGAGATTTTGTTTGGGGTTGGTATAGGTATACGGTTTCGCTTGGCTCGGGGAATGGCACCTAAAAGAACAGACGGCGCAGTCAAGGCAACTGGGCCTAGCCAAGAAGGGAATGACGGTATCCTCGAAGTGAGCTTCAGACACCCTCACCCGGGGAGAGCGAAGAAACAAGACTCGGGTGGTGGGCACAAAGCGAGCAGCCGAGTTCATAGTAGAAGATTAAGATGGCGCCTGGATTCTTTCATGGTCTTTATACAAACGCCTCACATTGAGAGTTTGATATGCGCCCTACTAACAAAGCCGGTTGTCGTAAGGTGATATTGGCCTTTCTGGGGTTCAACCCTATGGGGTTCGTTGAGTAACCCGGTGTGCCTTCACCACGTCTTTGTATGCATGAAAACCTGAACCTCCAATCCAAAGCCCTGCACAGTAAACGTTGAACTCCTAAACCATGAGCCCCGAACATAGAACACCCAGAACCTACAAGCAACAGAACAACAAAAGCAGGAGTTGGACAAGGCCGGGACAATGAAAGGCTTGCCACCTGTCTGGCCAGGCAGGTGCCGGTGCAGGGCATTAGGGCTTTGGGGTTGCAGGGTCTAGGGTAGTGGGACTCGGTTGCTAGGGCCCAGGTCCAACTTGGTTTCAGGTTGATAGCGGAGGATATCTCACAGGTGACAACCCCTCCCTACACTCTCTGTTCCTTCGATTCAGGAAGGATTGAACACCAACAGGGAACAATACCGGGAACTGCCTCGCTTCGGGCAAGCGACTTTGAACCGCGGGGGTTTGGGGTTTAGTACTGTTTGGTTCCGGGTAGTCTAAGAAGCTGGCAGCGACACCTTACGGACTCCGCAAAGTCTACATAAGCTAACAACCTCCAACCTTAAACCCGTCGCAAGGTGTAGTAGGCATCTGCAGAGTTTTTAGTAATTGGCCTGCCTTCTGCATGCTCTGCCCCACCCCACAATCTTAAAGCCTAAACGCGGCCTGCACGAAACGTGTCGTTGAGCCGCTCAAAAAGGTCCAGGAGGAGCGAAATCCCTGCAGTCTCTGAAAGTTTCAGCTGGTTTGGGGCTTTCGGATCTGGTGCTTTCAGGGTTTGGGCTTTAACCTTAAGGTTTGGGGTTTTAAGGTGCAGCGCTCATGGTCTAGGAAATCTGCAAGCTTCGGGGTGCCGCATGAGCCATATTCTATGGAGCACCAATTTCAAGCTCGGGCTTGAGATTGGGAAGTGTAGAACTCCAGCAGCTAAGTTTTGCGCTGGAGCTCGGATTCTGGGAGCGCTGTCCGGTGGCAGACCCCGTAGAGACCCGCCACCCTACATAGGGTGGCTTTAGGGTGGCAACCTGAGGGTTTTGGGGATTAGGGTCCAAGGCGCTCAAGGTTTTTGGGATTCAGGCTTCTGCTGCTGTCCGGTGTGCTTGCGTGGGTTTTCCCATCAGCACAAAGCCCCGGAACCCAGAGTCCCGTTTGGACCGTCGATTTCCAGTCGCTGGATTCCCTTGGCCTAGACCCGATAACGACAGAGCCAAAGCCCTAAGCCCCATAAAAAAATCACCCTTACCCTCATGGTGAACCCTCATCCAACAAACACCCTAAATCCTCAAGAGGTACACTAAACCACACAGCGAACCTAAGCTCAACTCCCAAGAAGGCCCAAAAGTCTTGACAAAGAATCAGGGACCTAACCGAGAGACACAGATGGTTCTTGGTCTAGGGTCTGGCCCAACATGGAATGGCATAAAGGCCTTCCCTTTCAGGATGTATAGTTGCCAACTCGTCTGAACCCCAAGAGTTCAACAGGTGTACCTTGGACGACTCAGCCTAAGCCCAAAACTGGAAAGTGTGTCAAATGAGCCCCTGAATATGTCAATGTCTGCGGTTCCATCAGGGCCTCTTCTCGGTCAGACAAGGCTGAGGCAGCGTGCTGTGATTTTTGAGAAATATTAAATGTTTGATTGATGAAGGACTTGCACGATGAACTCGGGATTTTTGTAGCAGGATACATTCAAAAATGCTCGATGGAAAGCCTTTATACAGCCCAGAAATAGTGTCCTGCTCACCAACGCTGACATGGTGTGCTACAAGTAGACTGCCCTAGACCCTAGACCAGAAAGCCTGCCATGTAAACACTGATATGGTCTGCAGGGATCTGGTGTAGCAAACAGACTCTGGGGCGGACATGAAAGGGCTGCAGGCATTCTCTGCAGCATTGCAAGACCGAATTTCGATAACAGCCTCGATTATGCAAACCCACTAAACTAAGACTGTTACCGCGGTAGCATTTGGGAACGAAGTTTGGGCACCCGCGCAGTAAACTCTTGACTTGTTTCATGACTTGATTCAGGGTTTCCTTACAAGCCCCTGAAGGCACAAGTATCTCAGTTGGATGCCTCTGCCTGTCAGCCGGTTCTGGCTCACGTCGATGTTCAAATACCACCTGGCACAATCTCCTCGCCTCTCCAAAGCTCAAGTCTCTAGCTTTGTTGGTAAATCAACCCCTACTGATGCTGCGGCGGAGTGGATCCTGAAACCCGTTGATCCCTCAACCCGACAGCCTAAACAAATCAAAGGATGCCCAGCAGTGTGACTCGGCTCTTCTAAGGCCCCAACATGTCTGGCGCAATGGATCTCGACGTCGACGCTTTGTCATGGACGGCCTGGCTGTGTCAAAAAGCACAAGAGTTGCGGATGTTTTCGCAGTGAAGCGACACATAGTCATCATCATCATCATCATCATCATCATCATCGTCAAAAAGAAGCTGTTCATCCGGCGAGGCACCAACAGCAACAGTAAGTTGCAGTCCTGACTCTTTACTGCTAATTAATCAGCCTTCTACATTCGCTGCTTCCGTTGATAACGTCATGCTCCTACAGACCGCACCAGCTCTGCTTGGAGTCTTCCAAAGCCGAAAGCCCTTCATTCTCCAAAGCCTGTAGGACGCCTTACTTCTCAACCCCCAACCCCAACTAGTCCTGAGCCCCAATAAACCCGTAAACTGAACCCGATGTCAAAACCCTCCTAAACCCTAAACTCAGAAAGCTCCGGACCCTAATCCCAAAACCCATAAAGCTCCAAACCGAGCCGCCCTACGGCGCCCCCCCCCCCCCCTACGGGCCTTACAAAATCGATCCGTCAGAATGCCGAGCAAATCTTCGTCTGACAGCTGCCTGCGGGAGTCATCCAAAGGCTTTCTGCAAGGAGGCCTTAATGGCTCTTTTTGGGGGCTTAAGGGCTTTAATGGTGTAGAGTGGTATAGGGAGCCCTAAGGACTGACACATGGGCCCGAAGAATTCGATCAGGAGTTGTAGCGTGCATGTAGTAGGATGAAGGATGAGTCTTACTATCCATGAGTTATTAGTTCAGGCGCCTAGTTCAGGAGGGTAGGGATGTCAGGTTTACTGTCTTGGGGTCTCGTGAAGATAAAACTAAAACCAGTCGCTCGAACGCTAAAGCCAACTTATGAGACCAAGGTCCTAGGCATTTCTGTCATCTAGAACTACTGTTTGATCTGGGGTCACCCCCCAACGCAACTCTCTGAGTAGTTTTCTGTGTTCATTCGATGCCTGGAGGAAGCATCGTGGGAATCCCATGCAGCATTTTCGAACTTCGGAGCAACCTGAATCCCAAATCGTTGCTAGAGGTTGGGGCCCCAACGATTTCTGAATCGCTGCACCCAGATTCCACAGTACTACTCAGTTAGGGCGCTCATCATGGCTTGGGGATATAGAGCTGATAGGGCTTGAAGGGTTCAGCGTGTATATGGTCCCGCGCATACACGGGTTTCAGCGCTTATCGGGCTCAGGATGTCTGTGGCTCCGGGCTTTTGGGGCGACGGGTTGAACAGGTCCTGAAGCGAACCTCAAAGCTAAGCGGTTGCCTCTGACTCACATCCAGCCAAAGCCTCAGACACCGAAAAAAGGCCGCAATCAACGAGCATGGAAGGCTTCATGGTTGAGGGATTTCGGGTCGAGGGCTTGGAGTTTAGATTTGTTGAGACTTCGGCTTTGCGCTTCAAGGTTTACGGATTTGGGCTTTAGGTTTTGGGGTTCAGGGATTCCAGCAGTTGGGGTTCCGGGGCGGCAGCACATGGGCTTTAGGGTTATTCAAGGGTTGCACAGGCTTCGGCGGTCTGAGCATAAGAGCTTGGAGCCGCTGAGGGGTTTCGGGTACAGACCCGAAGACCGCGACCCTCAAATTCACAGCCCTGAAAATGAAACTCCAGGCCCTCGACCCCGAACCACTTGATTAACTTAAGCCCCGAACCATGGACACCGCCCCGAACCCTGAAGCCTCTGACATCCTCCTCGGAAAAGAGCCTCAGAGCCGGAAGCCAAACCAACTCTGGGGAAGCCCTAAGGGCCAGTATGGGGCCTGCATAATTACCAATATCATGTCGGGGCTCCTTATGATAACTATAGTATACCATAATTACACTAAACCTTGTTCTAACTATTACGAAAAGACCCTGCACTGGACCACAACCCGGAACTCGCTCTTTCCTTGGTCTCAGGCTCGCCCTGCTTCAGCAAGACCTCGGATGTCCACAACAGATCAGCTCTGGGGCTCAGTTTGGTTGCTAAGGGCTCTCTGTGTTTACTGATTTTGAGTTACGAGTTGAACACATTGACCCAATTCGGGCTTTGACCTTCCTGCTGCACAGAAAGTGCCGAAACCCAAAGCCTGGCTCTTTGCGAAGCGGCAGATGCGAACACAACAAGCTAAGTATGCCCTACACCGGAATCTTTTAGGCGGCAGTCCTGACCCATGTGATACATCCAATTTCCTAAGCCTACAATTCTCGCCGTTCTGCCCGACTCCCAAACACTGTGGCATTGCTGCTAGATTGTTGTTCTTGTGGCCACTGTCCGTCCCGCACCCTGAACCCGACACTTTTTCTCCCTTCCGGGCCCTTCCGTGAACCCGAGCCTCGAAGCTCCCACAGCCTAGGTCTCAAACCGGAAACTCTTGCAGCTCTTACTCCCAAATCGTAAACCCGAAAAGACCGAAGCCCTGTCCTTGAGGCTACAGTTCTGAACAACTCCAAGATAACTATAATGATTGGACTAGTAAAGCATGTGGGCACGACAACGGAACAGTGCTACGATCCACCCAGGCCTCTATATTGCACCCGAAGCCTTGTTATTTAGATGGCAGATCTGATCTGTCGAGTTGCAGTCGGAACAAATGCACCGCCAGAGCGGTGATGCCGTGGCTGAGCCTTCGCCTAGATGCTGCTTCCCAAAAGTACAGGGGAAGCGATGTGCATGCAAACTTGCGTGTGAACAGGTGTGTATATATATATATATATATACACAGCCGATACAGACACATGCATGCATGCATACATATATATATATATATATATATATATGTATATACATTACATCCACAAACCCGGACACACGCTATGCATTGTAGGGTGCCCATGGCAGCAGAAGGTGTGGGATTGACAGTGTCAGATTTCGGATCTATGGATGGGTTTTCGCGTGTCGCCCGGAGTCCAAGCTCCGGAATGGGAGATCCGAGATATAGGCTTGAGGAAGCCAACGGAAGCCTCAAACCGTAGACCCAGAGCTCCAGAGCCCTGAACCCTGAAGCCCTGAACTCGAAAGACACTAGCCTCCAGCCCTAGACCCCATGAGTCCTGGAGCAACATGTCTTCACATGAAACTGAAATACACCACCAACCTTGAAAGCTCTCCATTGTGTCTGCTACCATTCTCAGAGTGCTCTGTATGCCGTGCCCTCAAAGCCGAGACACTCATCCTATCTTGAGCAAACAAAACCAACCCAACTGCCCGGGCCTCTGCCGACGGCCCGGTACGGTTCGGACCGCCTTTAAGCAGGTCCAAAATCAGCTTTCCCTGCGCCTTGCAGCCGATTAGGTTGCGGAGTAGTGTTCACAGGATCTTGGAGTTGAGGCCGCCCTGTTCGTCGAACTTGGGAATACGAGACGCTGCCGCGTGAACTCATGATAAACTCTCGAGCCTAATATGAGCCGCAAGCTCTAAACCTATGAAACCCCCAACGTCTTTAGTGCATTATATAAACACAAAAGCTCCGAAGCAACTCTGCAGTGGCCTCGTGGAGTCTGGAGGCGTGCTGGAGCCCCCCAGTCTCCTGTCCCGAAGGCAGTGTCTGCAGTATATATATATATATATATATATATACTTTAATAACTTGACAAATATCTATATCTATATCTGTATACTTATACACATATGTTATACAATGCATTAGATATGTATGTATATACACATGTATATACCAATGCATGTGCATATATGTATAGAGCGGTATCTAAGGATTCATCACAAGTATCCAGCTAGCCAGATATGATGCAGGGCTGCTGCACCCCCCTCCCTCCCGTCCCATAGTATCCACCCCTTGCCTGTCATTTCAATTAGGTAGTCTTCTTGCTTGGCATTGCTGCTTGCCCCGTCTTCCTGGGTGGTCTTGTTTGTCGTGTCCCCGCCCCCCCCCCCCGCCCTGAGGTGGGGCCTGTGGTCGTTTTTGGTTGGCCCGCCCCCCCCTTGCCTGTTTTAGAGAGGTATGGTTGCAACCGTTTGTTAGCAGTAATTTCACGGTTACGTGCTCGTTACATCTCGTTACCATACAAGAAGTTTGATCTTGCCCTTATCTCCTTGCAATTGGTGCCCCTGTCCCTGCTCTGATGCAGTTCTCTGCTCTGTGAAGAAGCACTGGCGTTCCGTTATGCGGACCGCTGGCAGAGGCCACAGGCGGGCTGGGCGTGGGCTCGGGACCCCTAAAGAATCCTGAGCCGTAGCTGTCGATCTACGGTCTTTCGGAAGCTCTTTCCAACTGCGGTTTGAGGTTTAGGATGTAGGGTATGAGCTTACTAAAGTTTGGTAAGGCTACGCGGCCACCAGGACTGGAAGCCGTGCGATAGCAACAAGCAAAAGACCGCAGCCAGACCTAGAAGTCTAATCTTATCCTTAAAAAACCCATAAACCCGAAGCCCCCACTCCTCAATCCTAAATCCTTATAGGACCCAAACAGCCTGTTCGGATCGTATGCTGCAGCCGCTGTCCTCCGTCTCCGGGGGCCAGAGCATGAGATCGAAAGTCTCACAGCGTGTGCTGCAAATCGACTTTCCGATCACCTGGGCTTGGGGTTTGGGACCCTTACTTGGGGATCAAGGGTCCGAGGATAAGGTTCAAGGTTTACGGTTCGGATTTAGGGGTTGAGGCTGCCAGGTTTTGGGTTATGGTTCTGAAGGTTTGTCGGCTTTAATCGGCCGGGCCGGTTGAATTTAATCGATTTCTGCTTTAACCGGGCCGGGTCGGCTAAATTCTACGTACTTTTCAGGCTGATGCCCATGCAGCACCTGATCAAACCTCTTCTCCAGTCTCAGAGGGTCAGCAACGAAATACTGATTCCTGAGAGATGCCGACACAAAGGGACTTCCAGAGCCTGAAAACACCAAGGTCCCCAAAAGGAGTGCCCAGCTCAACCCCTCTGCTGGTAATCTTGCACCCTACGGCCGAACTAAACAAAGGCTGCCAGGCTTTAGAATCTTAAGAAATGCTTTCAGGGGCTTATGGTCTTCAGGCCTAAGATGGCCCAGGGCCCCTTGTTGCGGGGAGGACGCTGCGGGAACCTATCGGTTCCCGCAGCAATAGGTTCCCACAGTGTCCTCCTCCGTCAAGGTCAAAGGCTCGTCGGCTAGTCCTGGTTTCAAAAACCCCTAGAAGCTCAGAAGCGCATCGCAAATCCCAATCGCCAGAAGCCGAGTACCGGGCCCTTTGAGAATTCCCACATTGGCTCCATAGCTGGCATGCACATATGGACCAACACACTGCGCACAAGCTTACCTAAGTTGGGAAGCCTTGGCTGACTTTGGTTGGGCTTTGTGTCTCGGGTCTTAAGTTTTAAGCTTGTCAAGCATTGCCAAGAAAAAACAAACATCACAACAGGGCATGTCCACCTGCTGAAAATTCGCTCGCTTTAGACATATGGGCTCTGAACTGAACGGTATCCTGTGGGACGACTGACTCACGATCACACGACTGTGCGCACCACAGCGACTAACAACACGTTCACGGCTTCGCGCTGTTCCAGGGCTGCGGGCAACCCCTCTGGCTGAAGTAGGCTGGAGCTGGCTAGTTCGTATCGGGTGCAAGGTGCTTTTTTTGGCTGACGACTCCCTTCAATGGTAGACAAGTGTTGGAAAGCAGCAGTGTGCGTGTGAACTGCATGCAAGTTTTTGAGAGCTTCCCGGTGCACATGACCCCATGACCCGCAGCCGCGAACCGTGAAGCAACAAAGAGAGCCTAACTCAACTCAAGCTCGGCTCGATAAGGCCGGCTGTGGAGCCGAAAGGAGCGGAAAAGGGCGCCGGCAGGCGTGCAGATATGTAGGCTACTAGGTATAGCACAGGTTTATGCCGCCCGAACGCCTTTCTCGGTCAGAGAGCTTGGTTTCGACTTTGCAGACCGACATGGGACTTTCAGAAAAAACGGCACCCGACCAAAGACCTGTAAGCACACTCTGTGAAGATAGCTGGGGCGCCGAGTGATTTGCGCTGCAACCCATGCTGCCAGAACTCCCTAACTCGATTCAATGCTGCTTTAAATAGTGGTTGTACATATACAGACATATATACATATGTGCGCATGCATCATGACTAATCATACTACCATTCATAACAAGAGCAACAACAATAACAGTACGGTTAAACATAACAATAATAACAACAACAGTTTCACAATCATATCACAATCATATTGGTACTAATTAACGATAATGGTCAGAAGAACAAAAATATTACAACTTAGACGTTTATGATGTTTTAGTGTACCTGTAACAATAGTTAGTAGCAAGAACATTAAGAACAACAGGAATAAAAGGACTGATGAAAACAAAAGTAATAAGAATAGGAATAAGAAATATAATATGAGAATACGAGGAAGAATCGGTATACTAGTAACAATATACCACTATTACTACTACTACTACTACTCCTCCTCCTCCTGCTGCTGCTGCTGCTCCTCCTCCTCCTGCTGCGGCTAATCGTACTGTTACAACTTGTTAATACTGTTACTGTGCTTACAATTCTAAAAGCAGCAACAGCAGCAGCAACAGCAGCAACAACAACAAGAGTAAATATTTTTGACAATTATAGCAACGACATGAATGACCACAGAAATGACAACACCCATAACAATGAAGAACATACTAGAAATAACAATAACAACAATAGTAGTAGTCGTCGTCATAACTAGCATGATTATTATTGTTATTATTATTATCATTAGTAGTAGTAGTAGTAGTAGTAGTAGTAGTAGTAGTAGTAGTAGTAGCAGTACTGATAACACTATGAATACGCAGACTGTTATACATATATACATATATATATATACACACACATAATGTGTGTCTAGAACATTCTGGAACCATGTGCTGTAGCCCAACCTGAACCTCCCACCCAAAGCCCGAGATGTCCTAACGACCCTTGCAAAGGGACTCTTCAGTTTGCCACCCCTCGCATGTTGAACAACTCTGACGAAACCGCACATGACCCTCCAAATGGCAACTACAGCCGTTTGAGAACGTAGGAATCTTGACAAGCACGGAAAAATCATGAACAAATGCAGGTTAGCATTCCACATTTTCTGAAAATCCCCACTTAGAGGGAGTCGAGGTCCAAAACAAACACCTCACAAAGAATCCTAAACCCTCACAGACCCCTAGAGAAGCGCCGCTATCAAGAACCCTCAAGGGGCCCAAGGGGGCTTTAGTCAACCCCTGTCTGCATTCGGCTGGGGCCACAGCCGATAGTCTCGACAACTGCCTCGCTGGCCTTCGTGTGAGCTGCGGGCTTAGCTCCTGGAGCCCCAGAAACCCCAAAGCGTGTAAGCCGCGTAACATGTCAACCAAGCTCTCTTAGAAAGACCGTCCAAACCTCTAAACCTTAAAGCGACCCTTGAGTCAGGATCCTCCTAAAGGTAGAGGATCTAATTAGATGGAGAGGCCGTGCTGGGCTTCGGAAGCCAAGAGCTCTTCAGATCAGGCTTGGGCCTTGGAGCTTAGCTTCCGATTGAACGGGAAGTGCCGTCCCCCGGCCGACGGGCCACAAGCTTGAAGGAGTTCCATCTGAGGCACGGCCATGTTCAGTGTTCTGGCCCCGGGCTGCAGGACACCATGTTCAACAATCTTAATAGCGTGTACTCTGTTCCAAGCCTTGAACACGATCGTCTGTATAGGAATCCAAGCACCGCACAGTTCTGAATTTATGATGATGCCATGATGTGATCGAGAGCCCTTTCCTGCATTCCAAGCTGCAAAGCTCCAAAACTTAACACCTACCTACACAGCCACAGTCCTGTAGACCCTGAGCGTTCACCCCGGAACCCTAAAGCGCTAACCCCTGAAGCCCTACACTGTCCTACACTCTCAATGCCCTGCAGTCCTAAACCCTGAAGCCCTCAGTTTCGCAACCCCCAGAAATAGACCCATTTACAGGTGTATGAAGAGGCGCCTTAGTATAAGGTACAAAATACTTTTGCACTCCTTCAGAACGCCAGTTCTGAGCAAAGTGCGGGCGACGACACCGGAGAGGCCGTCGGCACAGCCGGGACATCCTCCTGTAGCAAAACAGAGGTTCACATTGTCTTGGGAAGTTTGTCTTTGGTGGATTTAAAGGAGGATTCTTACAAACCAGGGTTTAGGGTTTCGGGAAAAGGGTTGAGGGCTATGGTTTAGGACCAAAGATGCAGGCTGTATGGTAGAGTTGTCAGGTCTCCATGCCTGTCTAAGCACTTGGGGCTTGGTCCAAATCTGACCGATTTGTTGAATTAGAAGAACGTCGTTGTGCAGTGCAGTGATAGGGGAGCTCGTCTAAAGGTCCTAATGATTCTTAATGCAGGAGGGACCCTTGGGAAGACACTTCCTCAGGTCCTACTTCCTTCTCCGAAGATCGTATCTAAAGGGGCAACCTGCCTGAGCCTACTAGAACTTAGGTTTCTGCCCTAAAGATCAGGTCGCAGGTCAAGGTACTTTATTGCGACAACCCCCCCGTTCTAAACAGCCAAGACCTGATCCTTAAGCCCGAAACCCGAAACCCTCTTGCAAACGCTTGAAACCCCGAATCCTGACTTCCAACACCTGAACGCTGCTTTAATCCACCAATGCTTGGAGCCTAAGCCCCCTAAGCCCTCATTTCCGAAACTAGAACTGCAACTCGATTCCTGCACCAAGTTCGGGGTGGCCAGGCTCGGTGCCTGGGGCGGCTCCTGCACAAGAGCGGGAGCCCGGGAGACTTTGAAGGAGAAATGCGGATCAGGACTGAGGGCGTTTGGGAGAGTCGAGGTTTATGGAGTTTAGACCGCAGGGTCTAGTCTCAGAGGGTGTAGGTAAGGCTGTTTGCAGTGTTGGACCGACATATGTATGAACATATACTTATACATATATGTGTACAGGTATATACCTGTATGTATATATATATATATTTATGTAGAGAAAGAGAGAGAGAGAGAGAGAGAGAGAGAGAGAGAGAGAGAGAGAGAGAGAGAGAGAAAGAGAGAGAGAGGAAGGAAGGAAGGAAGAGAGAGACAGAGAGGGAGAGATCGCTGCGGTTGCTGGGTCATGGATACAAGCGCGTCAATGTAGGGACTCGAGAAACAGCGAACCGCAAGCTCCTGCGCCCTGTGCTTTGTGAAACATCACTACCAGGCCGAGAATTGAGTTAGATGCGATGCCCGTCCTCCAGGAAACAGGGTTACAAAGCATATACGTATACTGGCTCCGGCACTTTACAATATGTTCCACAGACTCAAACAATGAGCTGCCTGCGAAGGGCTCGGCGTCGCCGCGCTTGGGGCTGGCACCTCCTGGCTTTGGAGTTGACCCGCTGCTTGAGCCGGAGGTTCATGATCTTGCTATTTCGGCGAATTTGGTGTCCGTACTCCCGGTCTTCTAGACTCTTATATGTATCTATCTATCTCTATATAATACATATATATATATATATATATATGCTCACCCCCCCCCAAGATGCACGCCTGCCCTGCCCAGATATATATATATATATATATATATATATATATATATATGCTACCCCCCCCCAGGACCTACCTCGAAGCCTCTTCTTGTACTGTCTAGACGACGTTACGACTCCACTCCGAACAAAACTGTTATATACTGTGTAGTCTTCCCTGTCTACGACGACACTACACCGTTCGAACCAAGACAATACCACGAAACTTTCTCTACTGTCCTCTGTATGCTACGCTATTTCACGGCGCGCTCCTCCCGATTTTCCTTTTTTGAACCGTGATCTATAGGGTATACTATACGTTATTCTAAATAGTATCTTAAAAGGTATTCTAGAGGATATTCTATGAAGTATATTTGAGGATTTTTGAGGTATACAGAGGATATACTCCATAGGCGGTCTTCCGTAAGGATGGTATTCTATAGGTCATTCTATACGGTGTTCTACAGCGTGCTCCATAAGGCATTGTACAAAAGGTATTCTGCGGCCTAAATGTAGGAAGGTATTCTATAGTGTATTTTGTTTGATATTCATTCAGGTGCGTAGAGAGGGTTATTCTATAAGGTAGTTGTAAGGATGGTCTTCTTGGTTCCTGATCTCTTCATACGAACCCCTTGCCCAAAAGCTGCAATCCAACTGGAAATTCTCAGATCTTGGGCTCCGGCTGGCTTTCCATATTCAAAGTCCGTATCTATAAGGTACTTTTTAAGGTTTTCTATAATGGATTCTATAGGGTATCCTAAATGGTACCGTATATGTATTCTATACGGCATACATAAGGTATACAGGATGTATCAAATAGAGGCGTTCTTCTTCAAAGTATGCTACAGTGTATTACAGATGGTATTCTATAAGGTGTATGTAGGGTAAATCGGTGGAACTGTATAAAAACATGCCATCAGGTTGTTTAAAGGTTGCATTCTATAGGGTATGTGCAGCATGTGCTTCAAAAGAGCTTTGTTCTGTGTATGTATCCTTTGCCAAATAAGCATCGAGTGTTCAAGGAATTTCTAGATCCTATATTCCGCAATTCCTTGATATGAATCCCTTGCCAAATAAGTCACTTTCAACTGGGGAACTCTCAGATCTTGGGTGTACAAGGTGTATAGGGAATATAGAATATTGTATAAGGTATTATCGTATTCTACATGAGTTTATTTACCGTTTGTAGAAAGGGTATTCTGTAAGGTATTCTACAGGCTGTTCTCCTTTATTCCTCATTTATTTCATAGATGTCCTTTGCCCAATAAGCTGCATAAAGCGTGGGCTCCTTCTGATTTACCCTAAGTAAATCGTGATCTATACGGTTTCTGTCGGATATCCCACAGGGGAATCTCAAGGGCATATACAAGGTATAAGGGGAGTATCATTCATAGGGTTCTTATAGGACATTCTGTAAAGTATTCCAGATGGTATTCTAAAAGGCTTGTATAGGGTATATAGGAGATAAGCACCGAAGCAATCAGGCATCAGTCCTGCTCCGCATGGTTTGCCGAGACGTCGGACTCATGTTCGTACTGAAAATAATTCGTCCACATCCAACAATCTTTGCCGCAGCATTCACGGTTCCAGCAAGAAACTTGGAGTAGAATGGTCCCTGAATTCTGCTTCTCCAAACCCAAATTTTGGGGACAGTACAGCACTTTAGGGCACTGGAGCTTCAAAAGTGCTGTACTGTCTCTAAATTTGGCCTCTGCCAAACCCAACTTTTAGGGACAGTACAGCACTTTAGGGCACCTCAGCTTCAAAAGTGCTGTGCTGTCCCTAAAATTTGGCTTTCCCAAGCCGAAAGCGCTGTACTGTCCTTAAAAAACCTAAAAAACCTATCCTCCAGAGACTATCGGCTGGGAACGCCTGAAGGTTGCTGGGGGATAGGTTTTTTAGGTTTTTTAGGGACAGTACAGCACTTTTGGCATGGGAAAGCCAAATTTTAGAGACAGTACAGCACTTTAGGGCACCTGAGCTTCAAAAGTGCTGTACTGTCCCTAAATTTGGTTTCTGCCAAACCCAACTTTTAGGGACAGTACAGCACTTTAGGGCACCTCAGCTTCAAAAGTGCTGTGCTGTCCCTAAAATTTGGCTTTCCCAAGCCGAAAGCGCTGTACTGTCCCTAAAAAACCTAAAAAACCTATCCTCCAGAGACTATCGGCTGGGAACGCCTGAAGGTTGCTGGGGGATAGGTTTTTTAGGTTTTTTAGGGACAGTACAGCACTTTTGGCTTGGGAAAGCGAAATTTTAGGGACAGTACAGCACTTTAGGGCACCTGAGCTTCAAAAGTGCTGTACTGTCCCTAAATTTGGCTTCTGCCAAACCCAACTTTTGGGACAGTACAGCACTTTAGGGCACCTCAGCTTCAAAAGTGCTGTGCTGTCCCTAAAATTGGGCTTTCCCAAGCCCAAATGGAAAGGACTGCACAGCACTTTTCAACACTAATGCTTGTAAAGTGTTATACTGTTATACTGTCACTGAATCTTGGCTGTCAAATCAAACTGATAGTGACAGCATACTATTGTTCGTAGTGGTCTATCAACAGTCTTTTCCAAAAATACAAGTTATGTCATGCTTTTGGTTCCTTGGCGGTATTTTGGTGTTGGCACTCTGCCTCCCACTAAGCCATTGATTTCGGAACCAGATCCTGGTGTGCAAAATGTTCGATGTCAAGAGTTTGTAGACATGCTATGAGCAAAGAAGCTGTTCTACAGAGAAGCCGTTCCCGCTGGTATTTACAGCATTTTCTGCACATGGAGAAGGTTGGTTCGAAACGCTTGGTTATGCGTGAGAGAGAGGGACAGAGAGGGTGTGGATCTTGGGGGGGGGGTGTGACCATTTATATATATATATATATATACATATATATATGTATATATATATATATATATAAGCCCCGAGGCTCGGCTCAAGCCTGAGCAGCAACCTCCAGGGAACCCAAAGGTCATGAATCGACTCGCTACTCTGCGCTAGTCTCTCATTCCTGTAGTCGAAATATCCCAAAACTAAATCCTCCACCACCTTGCTTCCCCATACCGCCCAGGGGAATTTACAGCTAAACGTTTGGAATACCTCGAACTGCAAGAACTGAAAACAAGCTTGTGAAGCATGGTGTTGGGGAGCTAAGCCAATGAACATCGCCTCCCTTGTCAGGCTCCGGTGTGCTATCCGGGCTTGCCATTGAATGCAACCTCAGGGTCCTGTGAGTTCCGTTCCGACTGTGTAAAATGGGGGCCTGCCGGTTGGAATAGGGGTTTGGATTTGGAATAGAAAAACTATTCTATGATAAAACCAGGAAAACCTGAGTACTACTACTTGGTCATGCCCCTATTGAATAAACAAAACACGGCATGCCGCTTCCAGAATTCGTCCAGGGCAGTGCTTCTAGTCCCTTGTGTCCCAAATCACACTGAAACATGGGGCTCGACGCGAATTGAAGGTTCAAAACCGCAAAAAGCCCTTATGCCGTCCAGCCCACAATTTGGGCTTTCCTGTCCTAGAGTGCAGGGCTCAAGGTTCTTGTGGAATAAGCCAATAAGCCCCAGCACGAATTGAAGACGCAACCCCAAAAGCCACAGAACCTCTGAAACTTCCAGGATAGTATGTTACTGGTTTATGGGTTTTGAGGAATAGTAAGCCACCTGTAATTAGGCACCTGGGGGGAATGAACTTGACCTACGAACTCCACAGGGCAACTTAAGCCCAATCTTGGGCCTTTGGGTGCTTCTCTGCCTCGCCGCTGAAAGCTCGTGGTATGGCCTCCCACGGAGAGATTGAGGGTAAAGTTTATGCACATACAGGTACATATGCATAATTAGGGCGATTGACTAAAGTTCCTTCATCCCGTGCTGACCTGCTTCACGGTAAACAAATCCTTGTGCAACACCATCGCGCATCTTTCGCAGGCACAACTTTATGCAGGTTTGAAGCTTTAAACGATAAAGGGCTCCTTACTAATTATCTCTATTGTTTCCCAAACTCTCCTGATTTCATTGTTACTACAGCTCTTGCTGCTGCGTTGCTTGGAACTCTCGCTGTTCAATTTCAAGCTGAGAGTCTCGTTGTTCATGCAGCTGCAGCTGCCTTTCTTGGAATGCCTATTGCCCCAGCCCACGCTCTTCTTGAACTCACAGTGCTTTTTGCTTCTGGGGCCTTTGCTGTCTAGGGCTTGCTTGAATTTTCAAGCAGGTCTTTCTTTTCGGTTGGGGGGGCTTGATATTGATTGAAACCCTAAATCCAAAACTAACGATTCTAGGACCTAGGACCTGGACCTCGAACCCGGGGAGGTTGGGTTGAGGGTTAGGCTGAGTTAGAGTTCAAGGTGGCATCGTTAGTGCAGGGCTGTGGAGAGTGGACAATTCTTGAAAGTGGCTCCTGCCCAAATGGGTTTCTTGGCAGCTTTGGGGCTTGAAGTGCGAAGACAAGTAAAGAGCAGGCTTCATTACGGGCGCTCCCTTCTTTTTCTTAAAATCCATGCCGGCATACGGGGAAGGTGTTTAAGACGGGGTGGGTCACATATTCCTTTCGGGAGCAAAATCCCTACATAGCTGAGAGATTCGCCGTCATGATGGCAGTGGAATTGAGCTAAGTCTGAACCGGCCGCCCCAGGCTCAAGCCTCTGCATCGTGCGTTATGAGCCGGAGATATGCCTCCGGTACACGGAGGTTTACTGTTGCGGTGTCGGGTTCAGGGCGAGGCTCGAGCCCGTAACTCGTAACTGATGTTGACTCTGGCACAAGCCTTCGGCAAACCTCTTTTGTGGGTACATGCGAAGGTTGGCGGATTCAGCATCGAGTACCGGTTTCTGAAGACTGGGAGTTCTCAAGTCTGTCGGCAGACCCGTAAGACAGTCGATACACAAGGCGGTTTGCTCAGGTGGCTGGAGTTTGGAGTACAGCCGTTGGCAGAACCTCCCAGGATGTAAAGCAGGACTGCACGGCTCTCTATGAGTCATATGACATATGACACTTGCTTCCGGAATCGGGGGCTCTGCCTCGTGGCTGGTACCCAACAACTCGACGTGCTTCTGCAGCGTGCGTGTCGTGGCCCCTTTTGCCTCTGCAGCGCAAGGAGACATGAGACAATGCTCGCAAAGTGACGCTCCAAGCCCGAGAAGCCCAGGAAGAGCGAGCATTTTTGAAGGTTGCGCTATCGAGAACTAAGAATATCTGCAGTACTGAACCCCATACGTTATAGTAGGTCATAGCTATAACCCCATACATCATTCTAGGGCGTAGCACAAGCCAAAAGTGAACACCACTTGGAGCATGGATTGAGCAGAATTAGTGCTCGGATTGCTTTTGCGGCAAGGGGGTGCTCTTTGTTTCTACTGTATATAAAAAAGGTTGTATATTGGACCCACAGGTACGCATGGATAAAGCCAATCAGATGCAAAAGTACTTCATCCAGTGGGCTGGGCTACAGATTGCAAGCCCCGTGCAATCCCATCAAACCTAGTCATGAAAATCTTGTGAACCCGCTACGAAGCCCTGATAAAACCTCATAAAACACGCCCTTATCCCACCATGGAATGAAACAACACTCTTCAGAACACCCTTCATAAGACCTCAAACCCTAAAACTCCAAACCTGAGTCCTAAAACCCCAAGACCTATAGACTCTAACCTCCTAAACTCCTTATAGAGCGACCTGCTGGAAGCTGATGCCCAGGGAGATCATGTAAGCCATGTACCTCTGCAGGAAAGGCGTCATGACCACCTGTGCACGGGAGGTGCAAGGGCTAACAGCGTTTGGGGTCTTAGGGCCTTAGAGCTTTAGGGAGAAGAGTTCAGGATCACTGGTCTGCTGAAGTGCTGTTGGGTTTAGAGTTCAATTTCTGTGCTTGCCGCCTACTTCGAGTGCTGGATGTTGAAAAGCGGAGGATGTGCTTGTTTCATTTCGGATTCGGGATCTTGAATTCCGGGTTTGCTTCAGGGCTTGGGATTTACGGGACATTGAGGTACACATATATTCTTCTTTATGTGCACGCATGTGTACACATAAACCTATATATATATATATATATATGTATATATATATATATATATTTATTATTTTAGTTATTTATACTTATCTATATTTATTTCTATTTACTTATATTTATATTTATTTATTCATATGTGTGTGTACAGATGTATACATGCATATGCATATGTACCTGTATCTGTATATGTGTAGATGTCTGTCTGTCTGTCTGTCTGTCTCTCTGGCTCTGTCTCTGGCTCTGTGGCTCTGGCTAGCTCTCTGCTCTGGCTTTGGCTGGCTAGCTGGTGTTTGTATGCCTGATGCCTGCATGCCTGCATGTCTGTATGCCTGTATGCACGTCTGTCTGTCTGTCCGTCTGTCTGTCTCTGTCTCTGTCTCTGTCTCTGTCTCTGTCTCTGTCTCTGTCTCTGTCTCTGTCTCTGTCTCTGTATGTATGCATGCATTCATGCATGTATATGAAGGTATCAAACTCTAGGTGGCTGAAACAACGATTTTGATGCTCCCCAAACTCCTAGACCCTCTCTTCCAGTTTAAAGACTAGTGAGTAGAAATGCCGAGATCCGACCATGAACAAACAACAACTCTGATAACTGGTTTTCGGAACTCCGGCTCAGTTCCGAAAATGATCCCTCCGAGTTCCGAAGCTAGACAATCTTAAGTTCCAAGATTGGTCAATTCTGGGGCCCTCGAGGGTTCAAGCATCGCCAGGGGTCAATCCTGAGGCTCCGGGGAGCAACCCTAAAGCCGAGTTCCAAAAACCGCTAATGCTGGTGACTGGCGCCTTCCACTCCAGAGCGCAGGGCTTGACACGTTTAGGGTTCAGAGCTTGTATCATGGCTCAGGGATGAGGGCTCCCTGTAGGCTTCAAAGTAGGGTGTAGGAGTGTAGGGTGTTAGAGGGTTCAGAGTAGGGGTTCAAGATTGATGGGTTCCGGGCTGGCATAACAAATGGCGGCTTCTAGTTGCCGTTTTCACTTCAACATAGGCCGAAGTTGGCGAACACAATGGCGGGGTCTGTGCAAACGTGGGCCTGTTTACACCTTGCCTTTCCTTGTTGTAGGTGTGTGTGTGTGTGTGCTAACACAGCCCAGCATGAAAGATGCTCGTAAGCTCGTCTGCATTAGTCACTTAACCTCAAGCGGCCAGCTGACAAAAGTTCCGGCGGCCAAGAAGTATAAGCTTCCGGACGAAGTGGTGGTCGGTTCAGGCGAAAGTCAACAATATGTGGCTGCTCGCTTGAGCCTCGCGCCTCCCCAAGACGACAAAGGCGGAGGTTCCTAAAATTGTGCCGTGGGTCGGCGACTATATGTATATAGTATTTTCCGACGTCATGTTGCTGTTGTACATCTACCAAACACTGCAATGAAATGTTTTGTTGTATCTCCTGCTTTTCAACACACTGCTGCCGAATGATTTCTTAGCCCCAGCTAATCGTAAACCATCAACCCTAAACCCCTCAACCCTAAACCCCAAACCCTGATCTCAACTCCTTTTCGGCAGCGAGCCTCCTGGATTTCTCGCTTCGCCGAGGCCGCGTCGACGCACCTCGCAAGGAAAATGCAAGGAGCCACGACTAATGTAGGGGCCTTGATAACTAGAATTGGGTTTTGGGGGATATTATACTGTAATCAGAATAAGGAACCCAGAGAGCCCAAACTGCGCGGTCTAGCGTTGACGGATTTCGGTTATAAGGTCGAGCGTTTAGGGATTAAGGCTTGGGTTTTCGGGCTGCTCTTGTTATAGTGAATGTTGTGTGTCAATGAACCGATAGGCCGGGTCTTCATATATAGTTAACACTAAATATAACCTAAGAAAAATGTTATGAATACATGACCTACCCAGAACACTCCCTTGCTTCAGGGCTCCATGGTCAGATCTAAGTAAGGTTATTTTTGAAGTAAAACATTCCCCCAAGTCTCTCGGGAAGTCCCCCATATCCATGATCCCATCATATCATATATCAACCATGCCCTTGGATCTGTACGTGGGAGGGTTCAAGGTGTTAGGGTTTAGGGCCATGAGGCGCGGGCTTACGCTTGGGGATTGAGAGCGAGAGAGAGAGAGAGAGAGAGAGAGAGAGAGAGAGAGAGAGAGAGAGAGAGAGATTGTTGGGTTCCTCAGTTCGGGCTCCGAAACTCATAGATAGCCATGCCTCAACACTTCAGAGCTCCGATTTGCAGGCTACAATTCTCAGGTGTCAAGTAAACCGTGCACCATGAAGAACGACCCCTTGGGCCCCTATAGGCCACAACAAATGCCAAATAAACCAAACGCTAACGCTTATCTTGTCACGGCTCTAACGGTTCAGTTGGGGTAATTCACGTGCGTCTTATCGTTTATAAGGTCATCGGGTTAGTATGTAGATTGGACCGAAATCTCTCGCACTCTCATTCTCACTCTCACTCTCGCTCCCCCTCTCCCGGCCGCCCCTGTGAGCTCTCCTTGGCCCTCAGACATTCAGCGACTCGGAGTATGTGCTACGCTTTTGCAGTGTAGGGAACAGAAGGTCCCTGGAGAAAAGGGTTTGAGGTGTAGGAGTTTTCGGATTTTGAGCATTTGTGGCTCGCGGGCTTAGGGTTTTCATGTGATAAGAAAAGGGGGGTGAGCGGCAGGCAAGCCCCGGATCCTGCGCGCAAAACCGAGGATAAACCCTAAATCCAAAAAATAGCCCTAAGCCCTACACTCTCAACGGATCCCAAAGGCCGGGGATTCCTCATGCCACAGCACAATACTGGGACCCGTGCGTCGCAAATCCGGACAGCGACCCGGAGAGGCCTCTGAGGGGGGTTAGGGTACTTACTGTAGCTCCGACTGGTCCCAGAAACAGTGTGTGAATCTCAAGGGTTAACTTGGCAGGTATGGGTTGAATTATTGAGCTTATGATTCCGAAACACGCTGAGTTCTGCCTTGGATCCTGGTGTTGGAGTGTTGGAATTGAAGTGTCGGGCCAAACGAGAAGGCAACACGAAGCATAACCCTGAACCCTGAATACTGAAGTGTTGCCGACAATGGCAGCGTCTGTCGGTGTGACCTGTAAGTGGCACGGCTGGTTGAACTCCGAGGCGTCGAGCCATTTGGCGACGCAGCACGGTTTATGCTGAGTGCAGTACTGTAGGTTTGTGTCACTGAAGACAACTACCTCACCGCACCAGTGCTCGACAGATTCCGAGAAAAATAATTTTAAGATGCTTTGAGACAAGCTACAGCCAAAGTCGGCAACTCGACCAGCTTCAGAACGCCACAAAAACCCAGTGACCATAAACCTCCGATCCTCGATTCCTTAAGTCCTAACCTCTGAAACCCCAAACGCTACAGCCGCAAGCCCCAAAATCTTGAACCCTACATCCAGGCAGACACTGTGCGCGATCTGGCATCCCTACAAAACCCCTGACCTTTTTGTAAAAACCGCAAGCCAAGCGCTTCTTGCCTTGGGGGTCTGCCCATCTGGACAGCACCAGCTGAAAGTGGGCCTGATCCATGTTGCATAACTTAGGGTGTTAAGGTTTAAGGCTTAGTTTTTGGGGTTTGGGGATCAAAGTGTATATCGTATCCGTACATGGAACATTTGCAGTTGGTAGAAGGTTTTAAAGAAGAGCCGCTCGCTTTTTTGGTATCTGGGCTCCTATGTAGGGCAACATGACTTAACATCTCGGGCGTGTCGGCGATGAGAATCTCCGACACAACTGACTGAAGGCGTGAAGACAACAGCATGGACAAGTTCAACCCCCAGAAACGAGCACAGAAAGCCTACACAACTTGTAAACAGCAATCAAGACGAACCCACGAAGTGCACCCGGCGTGAACTGACCGTCCATGATCTTGTGGATTTAGGCTCCGGGTTCTTGACAGCTTAGCCTCTCGGGAAGGAAAAATTCAGCGTGGGCTTACAGGCACGGCCTCTCTGGGCAACAAACCCCGGCCCGAGGCCAGTTTGAACACGGACATTGCCTCAGCCAAGCCGGCAAGAAGGAGGTCGTCCCAAAAGGTAACCCTGGCCAGGAAGTAAGGCTTGCTTGCGAGCTTCATGACCGACAAGGAAGTGCTCCAGCTGGTTGAGAGTTCTCGCCTCAGAACCCGGCAGCCGAAACCATTTGTTTTCCCCGAAGGTGCGGTGATACTTGCACTTGATTGCATCAGTCTGTAGGACGAGGTTCTTGCAACAAGGGCCATCTACAATCACACTCTGCAAGTCAACGGTCCCGGCGCAACATGTCCAGAGTGGCTTCAATGTGACAAGTAGACGTCTTCATTTACTGCTGAAGGAAACAGACCTAAGAATCAAACTGTCAAGTCATGACCAGGGTTCGGAGAAGGGGGGTTGTAGGGCTTCAGTGGGATCCAACGGTTTTCGGCTTACCCTTCCTTACGGAAGACCCGAAGCAGCCGAAGCCTGAATGAAGGCTTCCCAACCGTGGCCCCTTTGCTCAGCATGCAGGCTGCCGTGAGGGCTGCAAAGGCACCAACTCAAGACTCGTAAACATCCTAAACCTCACAACCCTTGTTGACCCCGATTCGCCAAATCCCAGATGTTACAGTAGACTGTTAGACCCAGGCCCACGGTGCATGGAAAACAACAATCCAAAAAACTCCTGCTCCAAAGCGGGTGGTCGTAGATGCGCAGGAGGACGTCGTCTCGCGGCTCCTGCGGTAGGTGGATGGGCCCCTCTTTGTTTCGGACTCTCTTTAAAGGGCTATGCATTCGTCCATGGGTTTCAAGTCGGGATGCATCTTCTGAGGGCCCCAAATTCTCGGAACACGCAACAGAAGCCCGAAGCCCGCAGTTCTATCGGTGAAGGATCGACACTCTGGCACTCTTTCCGGCTGAAGCTTGGAACTGTGAGTCTCAGCTTTTTATGGCAACGCCTAGTTGGTCTCCTGCTGAAGAATCTTTAAAAGTTAGATACATTACCAAGGGAACACAAACTCCTCTTTTGTTGGGTTCCCAAATAAACAGAGAGCCTTGTGAACCCTGGCATGGAAGCCAATACAGCCCGCGACGCTTTGCACAGCGGACAGGCTTCTCATGCCAGATTTTCGTAGCTTTTGCTCGCCCATGAATTCTGCAGTCCAGAATTCCATCAATTCGTACATACTTTTTGGGCATGCTTTTCGAGCTTTGGAGTCTGCGAACAATTCGACTTAGGGCCATGGGGTTGTTTGGGCTGAATAGGCAAGGAGCCGTTAATCTAGGGGTGTGCTGCATCTTGAAAGGGTTTATTCAGGATTCTGAATGCCGGCACCTCTGTGTCGTCTGCGCTGCTGGAACGAAGCTGGATGAACTTCGACAGCACCTGATGGCAGTGTGATCGGCAGTTTCGGCCTTTGACACGTTGGGACGTGGGACGCCGGTTTCGCTGATCATGGCACTACGTTGTTGAAAGATTCGGGGTTTCGGGCTCAGTGGTACAGAGTTCAACTCACCTTGTAGAGAACCTGCCGAAGTTTAGGACAGCTGCGGTAGGCTGAGCGATTCGCCAGCAAGTCGCGGCCGTTCCACACATCGCACTCTGCGTCGGCACCGTCTGTGGCGGCCTGAAAGACTTGCTTCCAAGGCTTGGGCTTTTGGCTTTCCGGCTCTTCATTCTCAAACAAAGGCAACCCCCCGACACACACATTGGAGCCTCCCAGTGTCCGATACAGATATTTCTGATGGCCGCGATAGTGACAGTGCTACAGGTGGTGATGGGGATAACGATGTCGAAAATCAGATAAGGGTAGTGAAAATGGTGATGATCATAATGAACGAGTAAGAAGCCCCTTCACATTGCCTACACTAGTCACCGCAATCCATTCCTTCATTCTGCTGCCGGCACCAGGCACTTTCAACCCAAAGCCTGATGTCAGCATGCGCGACCAATAAAATCAAAACCTTAAGCCCTATAAACTTTATGAAAGTACCTGAAACCCCGAACCTTAAGCACTACATCTTGAAATACCTCAAACCTTGAACCTTCAGCCTTAAACTCTAAACACCCAACTTTAAATCAGCAACAATGAAACTGGCCTTGAAGAGCGCTGTAGCCAGGTCAAAAGCTTCCGGACACAGCACGGCGGCGGAGGGCCTCGGTAGGAGTCTCAGGTTTCTTTAGCTAGGGTCTAGGGTTTAAGGTTTAGGGAGTAAAGTTTGGGGTTCAGGGCAGCGGGTTTATCGGGCTCAGGGTGTAGAGCTGACAGCGTTGAGGGCGTAGGGCCAGATTTTATGGGGTTAGGCTACACATCCCAGGAGCCGGTGGACGGACTTTCAAGACGCCTCGTCTCAGAGTCTGGAGCCCAAACCGAAGCATCCTGCACCGGGGCTTCCGGCGTAAGGCTAGGAAAAGATTGAATGTTGGGTCTAAGGCCAATTGCCAGACGCGAAGAGACAATGCCCCCCGAGCCCGAAACCTGTCGAAGTTCTACACTCCCAAAGCATCAGCAAGAAGCCCAAAATCAGTGAGACCGCTTTATCAATGACCTTAGCAGCTAAACCGCGAACCCCTAGACTCGTGGATTCAGCGCGCCATGTTCATGTTCTAAGCTATTCGACTTTTGGGGTCCGGTTGAGTCTGCTCTAAATTTCTGTGAGAGCTCAGGGTCCAGGCTCTGGACCAGGGCCTGGACTTTAGGGTTTAGGATCCCGTCAGCGACAGCCCCTGTTGAGTCGACTAGCTGCTTGGCCTTACTTCGTCCCCCTACAAACCCAACAAAGCTTGGGGTACGTGTGTATGTAAGTACTTATGTATGTATGTATGTAGGCATGTACTTATGAGGCTATGCCCCTGTTCAAAGGTGTTTAGGACTTAGTTCTACCAAAATCCATCATGTGAAGACTTGTGCGACACACACACACACACACAAATATCGATCTTGGACCCCATAATTATTATGGTCCGAGCGCTGGGCGGCTCGCCGTGGACGTCGGCCTCACAAGGAGATGCCGGGGTTCGCAGCTTCAGGGTTATGGACGTGAGAGCTTGGGTTCTTCAGGTCTCGAGCGTACTAGAAAGGCACTGTTTCAAAGGGGAATAGGTAACATCCGCAGATTCAACAACCTCACCCGCAAACCGAAGCAAGCTGCCCAACATCTTCAGAAACCCGAACAGCGTTGCGTTTCGTGATATAAGCCACCACCAACTCGACACTCCGAAACTTTGCAAATGCGCCCATAGGCTATGTTCACCATACAAAACTGGTTTAACTGCTGTAAAATCAGAGAACCACTCGCAAGACGGCTAAAAAAGAAGCAATGAATTCGGGACAAAAGAATTGTAAACCCTGTGCGACTCTGCAAAAAGACCCTCAGGCACTTACCGTCAAAAACCTCGCAGTGCCTTACAAACACCACAGAACTCTTCACAGATCCTGTAGCTCCCTTAAGGCTACCTCTTGCTGCTGCCCTCTACAGCCAACAGAAACGCCATTCGTTCAACTAATCCCTTCATCCGTTGAATAAATCCCCGCTTAGTATAAAGACTTCCCCGGCCGAAAAAAATCCAGTTTCGAGCAAGAAGTTTCCAAAGGAGTAGATTTGAAGGCATGTTGAAGTCGGACCCAGGTGGGATCGGCAGGAGGCGATTGGAACTACCAGGCTAGGGTCGCATGAGTGCATTTGGAAGGTTGGCATTTGGAGTAGGAGAGCGGCGTCCGAGGGAGTCCGGATGGGGGAATTTCAGGGTTGTGTGGTCTAGAAGTTTGCTTTCCGAGGCACGGGTGCGCATGAGCCGAAAAGCATGGGATCGCTCTCCCAGGCTAGGCGGATTCGAGACAGCAATGTACTCCTCGCAATTCGGCTTCTCCCAGCGGGGTGCGGATTGGGTGCGCAATTGGGTGCGGATTGGTTTGCGCCAGGCTATCATTGACTGGAGTACACTGCTGTCTCGAATCCGCCGAGCCTGGCAGAGCGATCCCATGCTTTTACTTAGATGCGTACCCTTGCCTGGCAGTAGAATCAGTAGAAATCCAAACACTCGATTATCGGAAATCAATCCTGAAACCACCCGAAATCCCCCTAATATTAATTAAACATTAGAGGCCCGAAATATTTCTTTATATATGGAGGGGGGATTAAACGGATGAAGGGATTACAACCCCAAAGCCTCAAACCCTATAAGCCAAACCCCTGAAGCCCAAAACCCAACCCTAAACCCTCAAAGCCTGAACCCTCAAAGAACCCTGCACCTTCAGAACCCAGCCAGGCCCTCTCTCTCAGCCCTGCACCGACGCCGTCGGGTTCAATTCGGCCCGGAGGGCTCCGCAGAAACCAGCGCCTCAAGATCAGTTTACCATAGATGGGTGGTTGTCAAAATTAGGGTCCCTTTTTCGGTACCCCAAATATTAGGTGCCGTATTATAATAAGGGCCCAAAAAGGGACCCCACCCATACAAGGCTCCATGTATCCCATGCTCAGATACAAGGGCCTGAAGCCTAGCACAGGGGATGGGGAATGCAAGGCCCGCCGAGGCGCAACTGTTTGGAGGTTGGTTACATCTACTCATGCCTTTCATGTTCATGCGAAACTCAGAGACAGGTTCGGGTTTTATCTTCACAAATGGCTGTGCACGCTCTTCAATGTTCGATTGATGGCCGAGCAGCTGCTGGATGGTTTTGCTTTATGGGTAAGACTCGCTGCGCAAGCCAAGCCCTTCCCACAGAGAGTTCTGGAATCCTACGGCGTCCTACGATTTAAAGGTATCTCTAGGTCGACTCTAGGTAGGGCTAGGGCTTTGGGTTCAGTGCCATGCATATCCAAGCGATGATGCCTCTGGCCAGTCTAAAACTGCTGGGACCACAGATCTAAAGACCGGCAAAAGCTGCTGAAACTCCTGTCCCCCTCCATAACACCCCACAAATAAACCTGCAACCAGAGATCCCGATACGCGTCAGCCCAAACCCAAATCCCGCACCCTCCAGAGGCCTGTAAGAGGGTTGGGATTTAGGTTGTGGGTTGGGAAACCAGATCCCGCGCGAACACTTTCAAGGTTCTGCGATACCTCGAGAATCGGAAAGCAGGATGAACCTGCTGAAAGGATCTGCCGACGAACAAGACAGTCCAATCCCTCAATCCCCCAGCGTGAACCCTGAATTCTGAACGATTCCGACACTGCTCTACATCCTCAAGACCAACGAACCTAAACCCTCTAATCCTTGATTTCCCGAGCATGACGGGATGCTCCCGAGCATCCCAGCGGACCACCGCCGAGGGCTCCCGGGCGCTTGCACCTCTGACAGTGGCTATGGAGGCTTGGAGCTTACTGTTTAGGGTTCAAAGCTGCTGGTTTAGGGCTCACTTGTTGGGATTTAGGGCTCGGATTTAGGTCTAGGTGTCTAGGAGGCCAGCATTGAGGGAGTGCTGGGTTTCGCATTTGGGGCTTCAAGATTCACCAATCTCCAACATGCCCGGAAGCAGCCTCGCAAAAAGCAAGGTTGGTGTTGTTGCTGTTGTTGTCGTCATAACTCTGTTTATTTCTGTGGTGGGGGTGCTCTCTGGGCGGCCCAAGACACGAGGGGCACGCTCCCGACATTAAGCTCGCTTGAGAGAATCTGGTTACCAGGTTGAATGGCATTACAGACAGGGAATCCGCGCACTGAGCAAATCCATTGAGAAAGCCCCATCATACGATGCATTTCCAAGGGCCACACGATCCTTGAACAGGCATAGGCCCCCACATCCGATGCCACAACACAGAAGCTCTTTTCTGGGATTCATACTATACTCTAGACTCTAGACCCTGAACATCCCTGCACCATCATCTACTGGAGGTTATACCAACGAGCTGAACCGCAAGCTCGCTGATAGGGTGGGTTCCTTCAGCTATTTTACACACTTTCCCGAAAGCCTTATCTGTCCCTGCGCCTTCGCGGGAGGCAGTGCCGGCTAGGAGCGAGCAAAGTCTGGCCACTTCGTCCTGCTAGGGTTTAGGACGGTTAGGTTAGGAGGAGCAGCAGTGGAGGAGGCGGAGAAAGGGGAAGATTGTGAAGGATATCGGGTTTGGAACAGCTAAGCTTCGGTTGAGCTTGGTCCTCTTAATATATCTATCTGCGTTCCGAGCAATGGCTGGGTGACTAGCAGATCGGTGCTGTCCTTTTCAGTGCCACAGCATTCAGCATGACCTCAATTCCGTCCAAACCGCCTAATCATGGAAGTCTACCAGACTCCCCGCCGGCGGGTAAAACTCTAATTCCTGCCCTCCGGAGCCGAAACTCATCTTCTCCCAGCCACAGATGCACTCAGCTCCTGTGATGGCAGGCGCAGCTGGTCGCCTGTCATGTCACTCATGTCAAGTCCCTGCAGCACTGAAAGCACTCCGAAGGCGGAAAAGCCTTTGGAGCTTCGACCTGACGTAGCCCCGGAGCTACCTCCCAGAGATGGGCCCCTGTGGGCCATAATCCCCTCCCACACTTAGGATGAGGACCTCTGAAACGAGTCAGAACCTCCGATGTAGCACGAACAGAAGGCAGATTTGGCGACTTCGGCCTTAAAACCGTACTCAGCTCGCAAGCGCCGCCTGAGCAATGAACGAAACTGAGTGACAAACCTAGTCTAAAGCCGAAAACCCGAACCTAAAAACCCAAAGCTCCACAATGTAAAAAAGTCGAGAAGTCAGGACCGGTGCACGAATCACGACGAGCTGTTGCTTGAACCGGCTACCTAACCAGGAAACTCGCAGCCCCAAACACATCCCCGAGCCTGCAATCATGAATTCCAAAAATAGGCCCACAAACACCCTAAACAGTAATACCAAGCAGTCTTAAACACCAAATCCCTGCAACCTCCAAACCCCTGACCGAATCAAGCCAGCCTTCTCGGCCCAAGAGACCATGGAGAAGCGGACGAAACTCCTGTTTTGAAAATCAGGGTATATAGCTGCCAGCACGATGCCGCGAAAGCCCCCAGATCCTAGCCACAACACGTGCCAGGGTTCACGACCACTATACAGCCTCATAACCCCCAACCCGAAACCCCAAACCCAAACCATACAAACCGTAGCTCCGTAGACCATATACGGCTCCTTTTATAAAACCTCCTGCAGAATGTATGGGGGCCCTACACAGAGTAGGTCATGGCATCTGAAGGCGACCCTAAACCCTAAACCGAAATTGAACTCAACTTCCGTAGGTCCTCCTGTCTCTGCCGCTGCAGCTCCCGCTCGTGGAAAGCCTTCGGTTCTCGACGGCCAGCCAGCTCCCAGTGGGGCCTGAATCAATGGGTAGTTGTCAAAATTAGGGTCCTTTTTGAGGTCCCTGTGATAATACGGCACCTAGTATTTAGGCTACCCAAAAAGGGACCATAATTTTGACAACTACATAAATGGAATTCAGGCTTTGGGTTTTAGGGTTTGGGGGTTTAGGCTTCCTCTTCTAGTCCAAATGTTAACGAACCCAACCAAACACCCTACAAGGCCGCCGATTATGGCTCCGTGATGGTGTGCCTCAGAGTTTGGCGAGGTTCAGGTTCACAAGAGGTTTAGGGTTTAGGAAGTTTAGGGTTTAGGGTAACCAAATTAAATCATTTGACCTGGACTTGCATGGAGAGCTTGGAGGGTTTCTGGCTGCATGCCTTCAGCCTTCAGCCTTTCGCCTCTGGCGCTAGCGGCCTCGTAGACCAAAGTCCGACGATACACGACCATTCTGGGGCATCTACTCAAGCCTTGAAGCTGTAAAGACAGGCAAGCCGTAACAAGCTCAAGGTTGGGTTTTGCAGAATTGTAACTCTGAACCCTCAGCCACATCTTCCCGATGAGACCTAAGACCCGAACCCCGTTCCCCCCACTCCCCCATAAACCCCGTAACCTCTTTTGCAAGCTTCAATCATCCGCGCCTCGCAGCCCGGCTCGCAGGCATGGGAACCTACTCCAGGGCCAGCAAGGGAAAGCATGCTAAGATTTTAGGGTTTAGGGTTTCGGAGCCCGGTTCACGGTTCGGGTCAAGGAGCAGGGTGCCGGGAGCCTTAACGTTTATGTGATTTGTGGGTGGCCTGTTTTTGCCTGGTTTAGGGGCAAGGGCTTCGGTCGGGGAGCCAATTCGCTTATACAACCAACCCTTTCATTGTTATTTCCCGTGAAAGGATCATGGGACACAACGAGGACTTTGGGAGCCGCAAAGTATGCCCTATTGCCCTAGTTGGCCCCCACTGGACACTGCCTGCGTCCGGTTGCGGCGGATGAACTCCTGGAGTTCCTTCACGCCATCGCCTCACTGGGAAGGGCTACTTGTCGTACACCATAGGACGGTCTCGCGTTTGGGGTTTAGGTTTGTTTATGACATCTGTTTCCTTCTGCATGGTTTTGAGGTCGGAGTGCCAGGATCTAGGGTCTAGAGTTTAAGGATTTTCGAGATGCCTCCCCTACCTAGCTGCTGGCCCCTAAACAAGCGAATTATGCTCGTCACAACCGTGATTCTAAGGTCAAGCCAGGAAGGAACCTTGCTAAACTTGGAATACTTGCACTACAGTATTCACCCACATAAAAAATCCTGGCTGACACTTACTTCCCATACACTTGCGATGAAGAGCCCGGCAGTACAAGTGTAAATTGTGGGGAGCGTGGTCTTCCTGAGGAATCGCGACATTCCTGGCAAATGGGACATGAAGTGTCTGACAGCGGCAAGAACCTCAAACCTTTAAGTCTCAAGGCCCGCAGATTGCCGAGCTCGGCCCCAAACTTGAAACCCCGAAGCTCTGAATGCCTGGCAGCTACGCCTAGCAGCATCAACTCCTGAAGTCCTGAACCATCAACCCCGCCCAAATTCTTACCCCCTAAACCCCCAACCCTCTCCCTGGTTCGACACATCCAATCTCGGAGCCGGACTTTCTTCCAGGGCTTGGACGCATGAGTCGATGTCGTACCTTAGATCCCAGGTCCGAAGCAAGGGCTTTTAGAGGCTTGGGATCTATTGAAGAACCAGCGAGTTGAGGATCTACTGAAGGTTTTTTTGCACGTGAGGAGTAACGGCTAGCCGTCGTAGGGTTTAGGATTCTGGAATCTGTTGAGGTTTAGGGTTCAAGTTCTAGGATCACTTGAGGTTTAGGAAGATCAGGATGTTAACATTTTCAGTTTCAGAGTCAGGTTGCTGGGTCTGAGAAGGGCTTTTGCTCAGAGTTGTGACCTTTTGGGTTGCAACCTGGCTTCGAAGCTTTAGGCTTTTCGGGGGTCGAGCTTCTCTTTGGAACCTGTGTTCAATGCGTTGAAAAAGCCCATATCCTGTTCTCAAAATTACACTTCGGACCACAATCCAAAAAGTCTTACCTCTAGGTAGACTCTCTATAGTGCGGGCGCTGTCCTTCAGCTCGAAATATGGAAACCCAGTCCTCCCCAAACCTCAAGGCTCCAAACAAGCCGCTTAAACCTCTTTTGGTGATAAAACAGAAGGTATCCTGTAATCCGCACTCGGGTTTTCGTGGCAGCATCTATAGACTCTATAGTTCCCGGGACGGCAAAGAAAAACAAGAAGACTCCTCCATGTTGAAAACACTGGGATTGCGGCTGCACGTTTCGCAACCAGGAAGTGTCGAAGACCTTTGTGGGCTCGAAAAAGTCTTGGGGTTTGAAATGGTTTACAATGTGCTTTGGGACGAGGGTTTAGGGTCTGTTTAGTACGAGTTTCGGACTGTCAGGTTTCGAGCGTAGAATTTCCGGTCTAGGGTGTCGCTCCAGCCCCCCAAGACCGAAAAACTAAGGAAGTTCAAAACGAACTTTGGACAACTTAGCAAGTCCAATCTTTACCCTAAGCGGATTCAACACACGTACTCTTATGGACTACCAACACTCGCAGACTTACTGCCCGCTGGTTTAGTTCAAGGAACATCACGAAGAAACAGGATAACAAGAAGAAGAAGAAGCAAAGTAAGAAGACACAGGAGAAGAATAAAAAGAAAAAAACCGAAGACACAAAGAAGGAGAAGGAAAAGAAGCAGGACAAAAAGGTCGGCAACGAGGAGAAGGAGGACCAGGAGGAAAAGAAGGAGCCGACCAGAAGGAAAAGTTTTGGCGAAAAAGGACCCATGCAAGCCAAGATTCGAGATGATGATGGATGTCTTTGCTGAAATGATTGTCCCCAAAGCAGCATCCCCCAAGGGTGCCCAAGACCTGAAACAGAGCTTGTGCATGCTCACCAAATAGCCACGCAATCGCCAGAAAAAGGGAGTTGACATAACAAATATTGTGTGATTCCGCAAACGACATGACAAGACCTGCCTCGTGGCTAGAACGGTTTCGGTTTAGGGTAAATGATGGTAAATGACACTGAGGCCTTTTAAAGATAACTTGTCCTTGTCGGAAGCTTCTTAAATACTATATTGAGGAACCATAGCGAGGAACGTATCCAAGGGTTTGGAGGTTCCGGTTCAAGAACCAGGGTTGCCGGATGCACGGTTTATAGAAAGGTCACGGCGGAGTGTCATTTTCCTAAACGTGAATTGCACAAGCTTCCACCGTCTAGCGAGAGTCGCTAAACACCATAAAAAGCTTCAGCACAAAGCGGCATATCAACCTCTTGAAACCTGCGAAGCACAGTGGATAATTTCGCAATCCAGTTCTCTCATTGTTGGTGTGATGTCAACGCGTTAGCTTGGCATCGGCTAAGCCCTAAACCAATTCCACCAAAGCTGGCGAACTCTTGCCGTGCAAAACGAAGCGTGTTCAAAGCTTTACGCTGAGCTGGCACAGGACCTAAACCCTACCTCTATGTCAAGGTCTAATCTAAGGTCTGGAGGGCTGTCTTGCCGAAGTCGTAGTGATCGCGGTAACAATTGGAGTAGCAGCAGCAGCAGCAGCAGTAGCAATACTTCTCCGCACGGTCATTTTTTGTATAGGTCTGCTTCAAACAGAGATTTCATCAGGTCATGCATCAGCATATACATGCGCAGTGTGAGACTTGTCCTTCGAGTGTGCTGGTGAGCGGCTGAGCCGGTGTGGTCATTGCATCGTTAATTAAGCCGCACAAAAACACCATTGCATAGGAAGAACATTTGCTGCCGTATGATGCAAAACACTACTGCAAACAAAAGTGCAAGGATATTCGAGTGGCCATGACACAACACGGCATTGTGGCATGTTGTAACATGCGTAACACAACCGAACATACCAAAGATGTGCGATTCATAACTGGCGCAATGGGCCGTCACTGTGCATTAAGGCTTGCGTTAATCTGCACGTCAGAGCAACTGATATGCAGCGTGTGGCGGCGCAGCATTTATGCCGCTGATGCAGACATAAGCGCTTGCACATCCACGTCGGCAGTGACATGCTGTTTGCTTAAAGGCAAACGATAATGCACAACGCTTTTTGGCAGCCGCACTGTTTCACACCATTTCACCTCGGAATGTTTGCTTCTGATATGACGCAATATCACACGTTTCAGTGCGATGCAGTGGGACGCCCGATGAAAGTGAAGCTGCAACACTTCCAAAACGCAACAATCGGAGTGTCGGTGTGCAGTTGAGGAGTGAGTCTGTATCAAACAAAACGGTTCGGGCTTGGCCTGGAGTTCTGATACAAGACTTTACAGCAACCCTGCGCGATGCGCGCTTTCTACCGAAAGCGCGACAACACGTAAGCATAATCCTTTATGCCCGCGGCGTCAAAGGTTGCAGAAGTTAAATTATAGCTCTTACATGGAGGTCAGATAAAAGACGGGTGGCTAACTTGAGACCACCACCACGATGACTTTTACCTGTACTACCCATCGCCATAGCGGTGGTTGCACTAGTGTTTGTTGCTGAAGTAGTAGTAGTAGTAGTAGTAGTAGTAGTAGTAGTAGTAGTAGTAGTAGTAGTAGTAGTAATATTATTAGTATTAATATTAGTATTAGTATTAGTATTAGTATTAGTATTAGTATTAGTATTAGTATTAGTATTAGTATTAGTATTAGTATTAGTAATAGGAATAGGAATAGGAATACGAATAGGAACAGTAATAGTAAAGTTACAGCAATAGTAGTAGTAGTAGTAGTAGTAGTAGTAGTAGTAGTAGTAGTAGTAGTAGTAGTAGTAGTAGTAGTAATAGCTAGTAGCTAGTAGCTAGTAGTAGTAGTAGTAGTAGTAGTAGTAGTAGTCGCTCGGGGGAGGAGCCGTCCACCCGGACGGATAAGCGCCATCGTGATGGCGAGTCATGGCCGGGATCGGACTGGTCTGGTGGCGGCTGGTGGCAGCGTGGTTCTGGCTCCAGCTCTGGAGGTGGCTACTCCTGGCGCCAGTGATATGTCACTCATATGGTGCCAATGGCAGAGTAGCTACATAGTCGCGGAGGCAATGCCTGACTGACAAAGTCTCTTTACACTTTCGTCATGCCCAGAAGGCAGATAGTCTTTCTGCATCTGGGCCGTCACCATCAGGCTTGAAAAAGAGACTGACAGCAGTCGCACAGCCTCGGAGTCGCACCACCACAGCTGCGATTGAACGTGCATACAATGCCTGCTTCAGGTACCAAACCGTGCTCCTGCACAGTGCAGGCAGGATGTCAGGACACTGAATTGTCCGTGATTGAAGCTGCGTACATACTTGGTAGGCCGCAGCTCCAGTTACAAATCACTGGATCACTTCTAGCACTTCTCAGACCATACAGGGTCATCGGGTCAGTTTCACATTCAAGTGAGTGCACAAGCGGCAATCGCCCGCAACGTGTTGAGCCCGCTCGCACGGCGTCCAATTGACTTGAAACAGCAGCAGTAGTAGTAGTAGTAGTAGTAGTAGTAGTAGTAGTAGTAGTAGTAGTAGTAGTAGTGGTAGTGGTAGTGGTAGTGGTAGTGGTAGTGGTAGTGGTAGTGGTAGTGGTAGTGGTAGTGGTAGTGGTAGTGGTAGCGGTAGCGGTAGCGGTAGCGGTAGTGGTTCAGTAGTACATACGCCTGGTGTTTTCCTGTTTTTTTCAATGGTTTTCGTGATTATTCAGTGGTTCTGGTAGTTATCGGGGGTGGGGGAGGGGGGATGTTAACGAAACAGACGCAAACCATTCAAAGCTTCAATGAGCTTCAATCCTGCAAAGCCATTGACAGGCCCTAAACCCCCGTGTTCGGGTGCTCCGCTTTGCCATGGCCTCCTGCACTGCTTTTGAACAAGGCCGTCTCCTCGTGGCTACTCGTCTAGCTCTTCGCTCTGAACTGGCAGAGCTGCCTCCCCGGCTGGTGGTTTTTTGACCATTCCCTCCCAGGAAATCCTCGATTCTTTCCTGGTTACTTGGTACTTGGCAATGCTTCTATGTAGGCTCAAAAACCTCGTCGTAGATTCTCGACTAAGTATGCTATCTTGTCTTTATTCTCAGTACAACGAGGTCGTGAGTGCGCATCTTCCGGATGGCGCAGCAGAAGCTCTGGCTTTCACGTTTCACACCTTCAATCCCATTTTTCGACTCAATTCCACACTCGAGACAGTGCTCTTACCTGCAGGTGGATTCCCGTGATCCGTCTTCTGTGCATTCAGTGTCTGTGCATGCTGCGACTGGAGAACGCAGCAGGAGTAGGACTCCGCCCCCATTCACCAGTGGGTTTTTCGCAAGTCTTGGGACGGGGACACCCCCGGCTTGCTTCTGAAAGCAGTGCTGAAAGCACTGAAGCCGTGACACGCACAGCGGCGAGGAAGAAACATCCGCCACATTTCATGGGCTTTACAGTCGTGGTCCTATTATCGACAAAGCGAACACCACCACTACATACTAAGATGCCAAGAATGAAGCCCCAAACCACAAGTTTAAGCTTCGCGAGCAGTTGCCGGAATTCCTGCTCTTTTCGCGTTTTGACAGTACGCTAGCCCCCCTAGGTGGGGCGACATGTGTGTCATGCAGTGCCCAGGCGCCTCAGGGCACGCTAGCATAGTAGTAGTAGTAGTAGTCGTCGTCGTGGTAGTAGTAGTAGTAGTAGTAGTCGTCGTAGTAGTGAGGAGTAGTATGGAGTAGTAGAAGTAGTAATAGTAGTAGTAGTAGTAGTAGTAGTAGTAGTAGTCGTCGTAGTAGTCGTAGTAGTAGTAGTAGTCGTAGTAGTAGTAGTAGTCGTAGTAGTAGTAGTAGTAATATTAGTAGCAATAGTAGCAGTAGTAGTAGTAGTAGCAGTAGTAGTCGTGGTAGTAGTAGTAGTAGTAGTAGTAGTAGTAGTAGTAGTAGTAGTACTAGTACTAGTAGTAGTAGTGGCAGTAGTAGTGGTAGTAGTGGTAGTAGTAGTAGTAGTAGTGGTAGTGGTAGTGGTAGTGGTAGTGGTAGTGGTAGTGGTAATAGTAGTAGTAGTAGTAGTAGTGGTGGTAGTATAGTAGTATTAGTAGTGGTAGTAGTAGTGGTCGTCGTAGTCGTAGTAGTAGTCGTAATAGTAGTCGTCGTAGTAGTGGTAGTCGTCGTCGTAGTAGTAGTAGTAGTACTACTACTACTACTACTACTACTACTACTACTACTACTACTACTACTACTAGTGCTAGTGTACTAGTACTAGTACTAGGGTGCGTTGGGCACGTTTGCCCCGCACTTTCTTCTGTTCGTTTGGGGGTGTGGGGGGGGGGTGGGTAGGGGCATGATAACGTTCATGATTGAGGCCCTGCAGATGAAGATGATGATACTGCTCCGTCATCATGGCCATGCTGCTCATATGCTGTCGATGATCCTGGCTATGATGATTATGGTTATGATGATTATGATGACGATGATGTTGCTGACTGCAGGCCCTAAATCGTAACATCATGGTCTTCAGCTTGTGACCTTCAGCTCAGGAACCGTTAGTTGTCTAGAGCAGTCTGTTACCGTCTGCAGTTGTGTATCACAGTGACACAGTGCTCTCAACGTGGTCGCTCCGCAGCTCCTTTATTCTCTTCAACGATACCGAACTACTTCACGAGTCCTTTTCTTCCTGTGGCCCTTTCGGCCATTTTGCTTTTGCGGCGATGCCACGTGCCACTTCCCACTGCTTTGCATGGCACTGGCTTCTGCAACTTTGCTGCCGTGATCACATTGATGCTTTGGCTATGTTCGCACTCAATGAAGAGCCGGGCTTGCAAAGTGATCGATGCGGTCGTTGCCTACAGAGTGTTCTGTGAAGACAAAGTGTCCCCTGCCGTGGCCTGGACAGACATGTCGTGGCACCGTGACGGCAGTGAGAGCACAAAATCAGTGTTTCCGTCCCGCGCAATTGCTCGAAGCAGTCCCATTTCGAAACTAAGAGCTCCAAAGTTCGACTTCCCGAACAGACGCTCCAATATAGACTAAAACATTTTCACATCGCAACAGTGTGTCCTGTCCTGGAGTATATTCCCTGTCTTGTTGAATCTCAAATTCATCGTGCCAGCCAGCGTTTTCGTATGTTCCTACCAAACATCATGACACCCAAAAATCACCTTGCAAGCAACAACATTCTTGAAGCAGCCGGTCCGCGCCACAAAGTGCGGGGCAAACGTGCCCAACGCGTCCTAGTACTAGTAGTAGCAGTGGTGAAGCCGAAGCAAGGAGTAGCAGTAGCAGTGCAAGTAGCAGTGGCAGTAGCGGGAGCGGCAGCCGCATCAGTAGCAGCAGCAAAAGCAGGGAATATCAGTAGCAGTAGCTGCAGCAATAGTAGAAGCAGCAGGAAGAAGTGGCAGCAGTGTGGCAGTAGCGGTAGCAGTAGCAGGAGGAGTAGTAGTAGGAGTGGCTGCAGCATCAGCCGCAGTAGCAGTAGCAGCAGCAGCAGCAGCAGCAGGAGCGGTAGCAGTAGCAGTAGCAGTAGCAGGAGGAGCACGAGCAGGAGCAGGAGCAGGAGCAGGAGGAGTAGTAATTAGTAGTAGTAGTAGTAGTAGTAGTAGTAGTAGTAGTAGTAGTAGTAGTAGTAGTAGTAGTAGTCGTAGTACTAGCTAGTGGTAGTGGTAGTGGTAGTGGTGGCAATACTGGTAGAGGGTAATTGCAGTGGTAGCGGTTGCGGTAGTAGCGGTAGTAGCGGTTGTAACGGTTGTAACGGTGGTAGTGGCAGTATTGGTAGTAGGTGGTCGTAGTAGTGGTGGTAGTGGTGGTGGCGGTGGTAGCAGTAGAAGTAGTAGAAGTAGTCGTCGTAGTCGTAGTCGTAGTCGTAGTCGTAGTCGTAGTCGTAGTCGTAGTCGTAGTCGTGATCGTAGTCGTAGTCGTAGTCGTAGTAGTAGTAGTAGTAGTAGTAGTAGTAGTAGTAGTAGTAGTAGTAGTAGTAGTAGTAGTAGTAGTAGTAGTAGTGGCAGTCGTAGTAGTAGTTGTAGTAGTAGTGGAAGTGGTAGTGGTAGTGGCAGTCGTAGTAGTAGTAGTAGTAGTAGTAGTAGTAGTGGTAGTACCAGCAGTAGTGGTAGTCGTGGTACCGAAACTTCTTTTGTCAAGTCTCGCTTTGCATTCACCCAGAAGCATCTCAATCCTAAACTAAACTCGAAACCCTAAAACCGAAATCTGCAACCCAGAATCCTCGACCCTAAATCCTGACCCGACACATCTACGACCCCAGGGCCTCAAACCCGATTCCCGATCCTGAGCCCTCTGCTGCATGGTTGTGTACGCTCACTCCGTTCAGGTGAGTCGTATGAAGGTATGAGGGTCCCTAAAACCTAAGCCCTTTCTTTACCGTCTTTAAAGTGATGCATATTTCTGGAAATCCAGAATCCCCATTGATTAAAAGGACTATCCGTAACTACCCTAATGGTGGATGAGCGGAAATCCAGAATAAACCTGACTGATTAACAACACTACCACAACCACGGATTAGGCCTTCAATCCTAAAGCCTTGCAGCCTAAACCCAAACCCCCAAAGCCTAATACAACCTTAGAGAAGTACCATAGGTAGCACTCTGGATCGGTGCTCGGCGTCGGGCGGCGATTTTCATGACGGCATCCTGCACCCAAGCAAAAAGGACTGAAAACGATTCCGACATCCGAACCGTGCCTTGAAGCAGAGCGCCCGCTTCTCTTCCATGTCCTGACAATGGGTGAGTTTAGGCCCTCAGCCCCAAATCCCAAAAAATGAACCTTAGACCATTGGGGAAATATGGTTCCGCTTCCCAGCGAAACGGGCTTTCAGGGTTGCTGCCGCATGCTTGGAATTTCGTCTTCTCGGGCTTTAGGCCGCGGGGGTGTATAACGGATGTTCCAGGGTTTAATTTCTTCGTTTGAGGGTTGGAGTTCGGTTCAAGCTGCAACCCGAAACCCAAAACCCTAAACCCAAAGTGAAACCTTCAGCCCTGAACCCTGAACTGATCCTTCAGGTTTGGTCGACTGCGCCGCAGATTCACTGAAGAAGAAGCCCCCGAAAAAACCAATCAGCAGGGTCAAGGACTCTCGGAAAGGTGTTCGCCGGAACACTCTCGCGAAAGGTCCGGAGGGCGCCTCTGGATATGTGTTTGTTTTCGCCCATACTGCCCTACTTTTACGCTGGTGATTGTTCCACAGGCGTACATTTGCCGAAAGCAAATCCTGTGAAACCCTATAGAGCCCGTGTAAATCACCGCAAAACTCAAGCCTTAAGCCCTAACGTGTCTTAGGAATTTCGTAACCTCGTCACACCACCGTAAGATATCCTAACTTTCCTATAGTCCTATACCCCAACCTAAACCCATGCCGCAGACGAAGGTATGCCTGCGCAGCATCCAGAACCAAACTCATCTGTTTCTCCTGCAGCTGGGGTTTCATCTTTTCTGGCTTTCAGCCCTCGTCTGGCCTGAACCTTAGCCGGTTTGGACCAAGAATACCAGAAAAGTGCTCAAACTCCTCTTGTGTTATACCTTTCGAAAATGAACAGACTCAGACTGCAAACTTCAGAAAAATCACCATGGATCAAGCCTGACTATTGGTTAGATTCACTATGCTGCACCTTACGGGCATCTTGCACTACGACCTTCCAACTTTCTGGCTCTTTCAAAGGAAATTCCTACGAGGAGGTCTCACTTCACCCGATCAGGCGGGTGTCGGATCGAAGGCTTAGGGTTTAGGAGCTCTTGAAGCTGCGGATAGTTGTCGGCTTTTCGGAAACTTAGCGGCAAGACGTCTTTCTTGGCAGTGTCCGTGGTGGGGTCCCTTGTTTTCTGAAGTTCCTAACAGGAAGGGCATAGGCATAGACTGCATTCTTTTAGCTACAGGACTTCGGGATAGGGGCATGCCTCTTCTAAAGCTAGGAGCAAGAGTCAGCAAGAGCAGCAACCGCACATCAGAATATTAAAATCCTGAAGCCTCACCTCTAGAAACCCGACATACAAGCACCTCACGAATCCGAGCTCCACAAATCTGTGCACTCCGCAACAACATCTTTGTGGCTTCTTCTTAAGGTGCAAGGTGCATTCCTTAAGCTTCGTAGTTTGTAGAGAAGGCTCTGTGCCTGGCAAGCGTGTCGTTGGAGTGTAACCAACTGGGGCCATATCCAACGGCCCAGCCAGGCAAGCAGGCTAAAGTGTAAAGCTCTGCACCCCAAAGTCTAACCCCTACCCTAAACCTCAACCTCAAAGCCTCAAGCATCTGAGGTCTAACCTTCCCCCAAAACCCTAAGCCTTGCGACTCTCCTGTAGCTCCACAGATGCGTTGAACTTGTGCAGCGTCTGTCAAGGACAACGAGAGCTGTTGGTCTCGTACTAGCATCACTAGTAGAAGGGCGAATACTGCAATACTCATATATCATTATGAATTTGAATAAAAACCAAGTTGGTACTGGGTTGCGGTAGGTAGGAGGCTCCGGAGCCCAGGGTGGAAATGCCCGTGTCTTGTTGCTGGTCGAGCTCAAGCCCTGGTCCCAGACGGTTTCATCACCCCTCCGACCCAACACTTGGTGACATGTTGCTTTCGTCGTGGTGGTAGTTGTTGCCGCCATCGTTGTCGCAGATATAGGTAGTCGTGGTGGAAGTAGCAAGAGAAGTAGTTGGAGAAGTAGTCCTACTAAGAGAAGAACAGCAACAGCAGCAGCGGTGCAGCCGAACAGGTGGAAGAACAACACACTCCCCGCCTTTTGAAACTCCTTCTCGGCAGCGACGGCCTGGCTTCTCAAACGGCTCGGACAAATCAAGCTTTGCAGATCCAGCGGCAGGATTTCTACAACCGTTTCCTCTTCTCACAAATCAGTGAGTCAGTGAACCTCAAACACCGAAGCCTACACTGTATTCCCTACACACTAAAACCTTTTGATCCTAGTTCTCAAAACCCCATATATCGGAAAGCTTGCTGAATCCAAACCCCGAGGCTCTCACAGATCCAAGTCCTCAAAGAGCAATGTACTAGATGGGAAGACACATTATCAATATGGGCAAAAACGTTTTTGAAGTAGGGCATTCAGTACGACTATCCCCGGAACACCACCCAGAAGATGGGCCATATCAATCATACTCTTCATGTACTTAAGTCCTGTTGTTTAACACCTAAAGCTAACACCTCTAATACCCATTCCTTGCCGGCCAGGCCTGTCGGGAGGACTGAATCGTCTTCTCCGCTGAGAGCTTCCTTGGCTGACCCCTTAATCCCCAACCCCCAGACCCTAAAATCCCAAGCCTTCAACCCATGTCTCAACCCCGAAACCTAAAAAAAACGAAGGCTAGGCCCCATGTAAAGCCTCGAAGCCCCAATACCAAAAGTGCTGAAGTTGGAGAGTGGTTCAGCTAGACGGTAAAAACAAAGCATCGGAACCTGCAATTTTCAGGGCACTTATAAAAAGAAAACCCGACAAAACAAACATAGGAGGTAGATGCTGAAAAGCTTCAGGAGTCTCGAGGACGGAAGCAACAAATCTGCAGACTAAACTAGTATGGCTCTCGCATGAGAAGGATCCTCAAGTCGTACGGTCCCTTCTCTGGTAACCCTACACCTCAAAGCACGTACTAAACCCCTATATTTTAGAAGCTGCCCTCACCCGGTAATAGGGACTATAAGGACTATATTAGGGCCCTATTATATTCCTATTATACCACCATTACAGGGTTCTCCTAACCTATATCCCAAAGCCCTCAGAGAAGTAGTGCCGCTTTGCCGCCACTCAGCTGGCTTCAGCGCCGAGAGCGCGGCACACCTGAGCTCCGAAACTTCAGCCGCCATGTCTTCGAGCCCCTTGGCTTTCCTTTTTCAGTTCCGTTAAATGGCTCCTTTACAAGGCTCCTGTAAGTAAAGAGCTACTGTCCTTAATGGGTTCTTTGATGGTTCCTTCAAAACTGAAATACAAGGACATACATGTTATAAACTTTCAAAGTGATACTAAGCTACAAATTGCTAAACCCTCCGGAGAAAGGAAAACGGCTTACCGGATTGATGCTCAGAGCAGAGAAAACCTGCAACGCAACTCTGCCATGAATCTCTGAAGGCAAGGGCCGCTTTGGACGCCCCTCCTGCAAAAGAAAAACAACACAAACAACAAGTAAGGCCCTAGAATGCCCTGTAGAAATGGCCAAACGGAGCGTGTCGGCGTCAAGATCTGATTGTCCCAATCCGATTGTCCCACACACGAAAGCTTCCTGCGTCTTGGTGCCCGGCTGCACGGCCTCGAGTTCTGCCGCGCGGCACGCCTGGCATTTTCGTGCGAGCATGTCCTGAGATCCTTTCTGACTAAAGACCTAAAACCCTAAGGCAGGAATCCGAGGACCGCGCCCGCACCCAAACCCCAAACCAGAAACGCCGTGATATGGACCCCTGAGTATCACTCCTTGAAACTTCTCGACGCCCCAGTTCTGCGACTGCAAATCAGAAGAACCAAATTCCTGCACAGTATCAGGTTTTGAAAATTTCGTCGTCTTCGCCACCACCAAGAACACGACGATCATCATCGTCATCACAGTCATCATCACAATCATCATCATCATCCTAATCGTCATCGCCATCATCACCATCGTCATCCTCATCGTCATCATCATCCTCATCATCCTCCTCGTCCTCATCCTCATCATCATCAACATCGTCATCATAATCATCATCATCCTCATAGCCTTAAGCACATGTTCACCACATGCGGGCCTGTACATACCTCTCCTCGGCAACCTCGTGGCCTGATGCCCAGGGGGCATGGAACGCTTAGGCTGAGCCAGTTGCTTCGTTCTTGAGCGGGTTGTGAGTCCCTAGGAATGCCTACGGAGGTTTCGGGTCCAAGCTTCAACCAGGACTTACACCATGACTGTGTTTGGGCTTCAGGGCTTGATGTTGGGGTGGGGGTGTTGGTGAACGTGGGCCTTGAGCCCGGAATATACTTGAAGGGCTGGTAGACTTATGTAGTCCGCAAGTTTGGAGGTGGACTGTTCTGGGATTGTATGTACCCGAGTGTAATTGGACGACAACCTTATACAACCTACTTGTGTTTGCTGGGTCCCATGATCCTCCGTTGCATTGGGTTCAGATTGCACAGTATCGTTATCTGTAACTACACAGTTTGGTCCAGGGATCCCGCATAAGAAGGACTTTCAGCTGTAGTTCGAAGGTAAACACCAGGACCCAATACCAAAGTGCCGGGCACAGATTCACAGCACGGACCTCAAACTCTATGCCACAGGCTCTGTTGAAATGCTCGCGGCCTTTGCGAACAGTGTGCCAGTGCCGCATGAGACCTGCAGCTCCATTCGTGATGATCGGGTTCTCAAGTTTAGGGCTCAGCCCCTTCTACACTTTCCATGCGGCTGCTCTGCACCCTGCACTGCGAAGAAAACAAGGAAGGCCTACGGTAAGCCTTCAGAACTCTACCTTAATAAACCACAATATTCATCATAACAGCAATATATCTATTTATCAGAAAAATTAAGAATACTGATAGCATAGTGCTTGCATGTAATTACTAATGTGTACAGACATAATCCCGGTATCGGAAGTTGATGCCCGCAGCCCGCAGCTCTCTCCTGGATATGCTGAAACCTGGAACTCAACATATAGTCCAACGCTTTTTGAGAGCTCTTGTCATGGGGATCAAAATTGAGATCCTCTGCCATGGTTGGAGGCATCCGCTGCCAATGCCTTTGAATCGGCCTTGCAGAAACAGCATCGGACTGAAAACCCAGTGCCCAAGTGCGGCGGACATTCGAGATTCTCAGCCAATATTAGCATAAGTCCTATTCCTCGTGCCCTCATGAAGCAAAACCCTTTTAGGGCCCCTGCACAGACCGTCGGCGTACAGTCGGCGTGACACCTGCGCTGACTGAACAAAGCACCACTCACCCCCAAAAGACCTGACACCGTCCAAATATGTGGGCCTGGCCAGGGCCTGAGTCTACACGATGGCAAGGCCAGAGCGGCTGGGAAGTATGGATTGACGCTGACTAAACCCCAAGCTCAAATCCCGAGCAACAACCCTGAACCCCAATCCGCTGCAAGTTCAGCAACCCCCAATGAGGCTTTCCAGACTCTTCAGTGTGGCAAAACCCAGAATGCCGAACGCCAACCACCCAGACATCACCATACCCTGCACCTCCAACCACCCGAAAGGCCGCAAACCCTGATGGACCCTAAACCCTTATCATTAGACCTCTTCCAACGCCTCCAAAATCCTCCAACCCCCCCCGAAAGACACTGGAACCCGAAAACCAAGGTCGTCCCCGCCGAAGGCCATCTCAGAGTTTCAGACCTCCGCGTGCTGCTCCAACATCTCCTCCACAGTGTCTGCCACATCCTTCGAAACAGCGCGGAGGGTTGAGGGCTTGCAGCTTCTAGGGCTTTGGGGTTTGTAGGGTCAAAGGTATTGGGTGTCCGCTGGAACGACTTGGGGTTGGCTGTGGAATACGTAAAGGGGCTCGGACCACAACGATGCTGCACGTTTTGAGCTGTTTCCATACATCTGATTGGTCTAGGTTGCCATAGGCACTTGTAGAACACTGCTTCTCGACAGGGGATATCCTGTGATCATATCATGCTTTGGCAGCTGCATGAGTTTTGCAGTCCATGTGGGAGCTTCGGAAAACAGGTGACCCAATATAAATTGTACTTCTGGGATCCTCAGTACGTGGTTCCCTTACCAGGGACCTCTCGTTATGAACATGTTGAAATCTCATAGAAACTCCTAAACCCCTCGAGTCATTTTTCTCTGATAACCAACAGGCCACCATTAGCGAAGCCGGTCGAAAGCCACAGCAGCAAGACTCGACCGTCAAGGGGCGCAGGTGTTTTCGCTGCGGCTCGGTGCTCTGAACGACTGCAGCCTTCCTTGAATGGACACTGCCTTCGGCACTGCTGGGTCCTTGCCGGCTACAACTTCGCTAGACCTTTAGAGGCAGAAGCAAACTTGATTAATGTACAACATGAGATACAACCGATCCGACTTACACTGCCCAACTTAAGCGAATCGTCAACCTCTAACTCCATGAGGCTTCCAAGATGTCTCAAGTGTGACCCGCAAGCAGAACTCGCTTCACCAGCTTGCGGCCACCCATGTCCACAAAGGCCAGGATGGAAGCCTTCAAGGTTCAAAAAGCTTATAGGCTTATGGGCGTCACGTGCGTTAGATTCTTGGCTGTTGGCCTTGGAGAGGTCCAAGGTCCGAAAACCAGGAGACCCTTGAGGAAGTCTGAAATGCAACGGCAGGACGAGATCTTTCTTCAATTTGAAGTCCATGGCCGGTTGCCATGAGGTCAATACGTTCAATATGGACTTTATGAAAACCACGATCTCCTCCAGAATGAACCCCACGTCCAACAATTGATGGAGTGACTGGCACACGGAGCCCCAAGTCAGCATAAAGCCCTACTCGTACGAACCCTTACTCTAAACCTCCAAAATGCACACAAAACCCATACCTTCAGATACCACGACGCCCTGGGCGCTGGGACCCTAGGAAAAACAGCATTTACCAACAGCTTCGGTCGCGAACGGTCGGCTTAAAATTGGTGAGCAGGCGGCAATCGGCGCACAGCTCTGTACCACCGGCTCAAGCATTCCGAAGGCCTGAAGAAGTACACACGCGCCGCCTTGTGGGGACATAACTGCCCGCGGACATGGATAGATTGATACACGTACAACAATATACAGAATCAACCACCTTACTGGCATTCCTCCCGTTGGGCCCTATCTGCCTTTTTGCATGTTTTTGGACGTTAGACTGAGCGGAAAAGCAAGCCCATGAATGGGTTTGCTATGCTGAGTCGTGACACATTACGGATCCGGCCTGCTCCGTTTCTGCCTGTTGGCTGGGTTCCGTCAAAGTGCATGTGATTACTTATTTGCACATCCATCCATCCATCCATCGATCCATCCATCCATCCATCCATCGATCCATCGATCCACAGATTCAGCATTATCTGTTTTGTATCTATGCATGCATGATGGATATGCTCATACATATGAACATGCATGCCTCCTCGCATATTATATAGAAACAAAAGTACGGATGGACGGACAGGCGCGCAGGTGGAAGGGCTAACCACTAGAATTTGCAAACCTACACGCGTATTTGTGACTCTGCAGTTGAAATAGGAGACGTCTTGAAACTAAACTGTACATGCAGCATGAACATATATATGCATCTATGTACACATTCAGAGACTTGTTTCGGTCAGGCCTTCAGACTGCAGCCAACCGGTCACAAGCCCACTGTACTCGGGCTAATGCTACCAATGGCCATGTCACAGACAAGTGCGAACTCGAGCGGAGCTCGTGGAAGTCATGCTTCGCATGAGTAAACTTGCTATCTATCACACATGTCCAATGTAGAATGTAGACACAAGGTTACGGGCTTTGTATCTGTCTTGGCTAGAATGAACAGATTGTAGAGAATATGCCTTGAACATGGAGTATGAAGTACATTATACCTACTAATCTGCCCCAGACAAATAAAAGTCGTTTCCATGCTGAGACTTTCGATCTCTCAGAAGGTAGCCAAACCAATCAGCCGGCTCATAAAGCTACCGGTGGCCATGTCCAGATGAATGCGAGCTCGAGTGACTCGAGTGGTGCGAGGAGTGGGTCGTATGTGTGCCGTGCGTAGAGTGTGTCTGAGAATGATGTGCCGGCTGGGTGGCATGCGTCTGGGAACGCTGAGCAGGCTGTGCGGTATGAGTTTCGGAATGCTGAATCGGTGGCTGCATAGAGTGAGTCCCGGAGTGCTGCTGTGTAGAGTGTGTCTCAGAATGATGTGTCGGCTGGGGCTGGGTGACATGCGTCTGGGAATGCTGCGCATGCTGTGTTGCATGAGCTTCGGAAGGCTGAATGGGTGGCGTCCCGGCGTGCTGCAGCGTGCTTTGTGTGGCGTGCGTATCGGAGTGAGTCCCCGAATCCTGAATAGACGGCTGTGAGGTGTGTGAAGTCTTGCGCGTCTCGTGCTCCTGTGTAGGAGGTGCAGGGGTGGGCTGAGCCAGGTGGGCTCCAATGTCCCGTCCCGGAAAACGAGACGACCTCCAAAAGCGCACCGGAGCTCTTCGCGAGTGTGTCCGATTCCCCCTCAGAGTCTCCGTTGTGTTCGTTGTGGTAGGAGACCCGCGTCCCAAGAATCGCGGCAGCACTGCAGGAACACCTGGGCCAAAAGAGAGCCATTCAACACATTTTTGTTTCCCGACACAGCCTGAACAGAAATGGTACTGCCGCCTGCCTAGAGGAGCTCAGGCGCCGCACGAAATTTTAAGAACCGTAAACAAAAGGCCCGAAATCCCAAACCCATCATACACCCGAAGCAGAACTCGAAGGCTCATCATACGATCTACGCAAATCGGAACTTCAGGAGGCATATAGTTTCTGACATAGGAGAGCCCGGACACCCGAACAGCTGGAGGTGACAGGCAGCCATCGGCTCAAAGAGGACCCGCTGCGCCAGAGGAGTCGAATGAAGAGCCCGAGGCAGAAAAGCAACAGCCCTCGATGCTTCGCCATGGCGATATCCGCTTGGGTGACGTCTCGAGTCTAGAGAGTCTAGAGGCTGAGAGGATTTATAGGGTGCAGGGCTTAAAGCTTCAGGGTGATGGCGGCGTTGCTGGACTCGTGAGGTGCATATCTACGGCACTTGCAGTAGAAACTGCCATGTAGACCCAATGTGAAAGCTACATCAAAGCTAAGAGCAGCAGCGCGGTGGTCATTGCAGACGAATCTCCTCCTAAGTGGCCATGCTCTGAACCCGGAAGCTTAAAGCTTGCTAGTTAGGGCTTCGGGTTTCGAGTTCAGGGCTCATGGCTGAGGAGCTGGGTTTTTGGGCTTCAGCCTAGCATCATCAGAAACTAACTGAACCCTAGGTTTAAGTTGTTTGGAGTTGACAGTTTGGGGGTGCAGGTTTCAGAGTTTAGGGTCTAGGGCTTTTACGAAGGGTTGGCACCAAAATGACACTTCCGGCCTGCTAACCGATGATGGGAAAGGTCCGCTCCATGGCCTCGTGTTGCCAAGTACTGTTTAGGGATCCTTTGCAGGTTCCCTCAACGGGTTCCTCTAGGCTTCGACAAGGTTTGTAGCCAAGGGGTTGAAGGGTTTAGCGGTTTAGGCGATTTGGATTCCGGGGTTCTGGGACTAGGTGCAAGATTCAGGACCTGGGTCTTGGAGGTTTGTTGAAGGGTTTAAGTTTGGTTTGGTTGGGGGTTAGAGCGCTTCAGTGGTCCTGGCAGAAGCTTCTGCAATACGAGCAGCCCTAGACGCTCCTAAGCAGCTCCTGAGGCTCCGAGGGAAGACAGAAGTCCTACATGCGACATCCTACACCCTGGAGGCCTGCCCCAGGCCCTAAGCGCAGAAGTAAGTAAATCTAGTTTCGACAAAAAGAATTACATCATGGAGCTCGCTTGGTCGCCGAAGACGGGATCCCTTCCCTAGAGATAGTTCTCGTTACTTAAAGATGCTCCGTATCCAGCACTGAACCAGAAACACCAAGTACGAAAACTCCCAAAGCGCTGCACTAAAACCTCAAAACCCCGGACAGGCTGCGGCACGCCTCTTGGAGGTTCTTCAGCAGCCACCAGTGGTACCTCAGACCCGGCTCGAGCTTCGAGGTGTTATCGTGGGGATTACGGATTCAGGCTGATAGGGTTTAGGTTCAAGAATTAGGTCTTTGGGCTTACAGGGTTTGGGGCCTGCAGGGTTCATTTAAGAAGAATCTCGCAGTTTGAAGGGCCTTAAAGGGTTCCGATTTTGTTCAGGCTCAGGGAGTCCTGTCTCCATGTGGGGCTTTGCCAACACTGCGCACGAGCATGTTGTGAGAAGGTGGTGATGGTGCTTTGGTGCTGGGATTGGAGTCTGGACGAGGCTGATTGAGCACGTTCCGGAAAGTTAGGTCGAGACACTGTGCACCACTTGGACCTTGCACAAAGCCAACATATTGTAGTCACTCATCACCGCCGTGTTCATCAACACTGCCACGCCCATCACCGTGGCCGTCACCATAACATCCCCATCCTCAGCATCACTATCAGCACAACATGCATACGCCATGTGTGATGGTCATGATGCTGACAACCACGAAACTAGCAGTAGCGATCATCGACATCACCAGCTTCTTTCTCACTATCATTGTCATGACCATGACACAGCTGTCAGTAAATCATGCTGCTGTGTATGCTTTTACTATCATGTAGTACGGGCACTGCTGTGCCTCAGCACCTCGGCTGTTTACGCAGGATAATATCATACGGCCACAGTGCCACAGTGCGGCCGACATAGCTCAATTGCACACCGTCTGGCCAGCCTGCGAAGGCAGCAGCGGGTGGGCTC